GTAATTAAATAATACAAGTTGACACCAAACACCTGACATAGACTATTTACTCCTATCCAAAGTCTAATACGGTGTACCAAACGAGCCCTTAGTCAATAAAAAGAAAGGGAGGGGGGGGAGGGGTGGGGCCTAGGCTATAGCCCAGGTGGCTTCTGTTTTCCAGCCAAAAAAATAAAATCCTAGCTCACCCAATCTAAATAACCTAACCTCATCTAGTTGGGGTGTGGGGGAACTCACATACAACACATAGAAAGGAAAAAAAATAAAATAAAATAAAATATATAAATAATTAAAAAAAGAAGCACCACCCTACTCTCACATGTAGAGGGAAAAAAAAACACGCTCTTGTTGCTGCTGCACTCACCTTCAACACTTAATTCAAGTGAACCAAGTTCCTATATTCGTCATGTAAGCTTCTCTCAATTTCTTGATGCTTTAATTTGAGGATTTTTTTGGAGTTTATGAAGTATCAATTAGGATTTGCAATTGACACTTATGAATTATCAATTAGGATTTGCAATTGGGGCATCAGTTTCAGTTTATGAGTTATGAATTATCAAATAGGATTTGTAATTGATTTTATTGTTCTTGCTGTATATATATATATATATATTTTTTTTTTTTGTTATCAATGATATCACATGGTATTGTTGAGTTTTCTATCTACTTAGTACCTAAATTTGGCCCACCCCATTTTAAAATCATAGATCCGTCCCTAGGAGGGGGGAAACCGAACCTAGAACCTCAACTATACGGATAAATACAATTATTGTATTCTAGCTTAGCCAATGAATACTAGGCTTCTTGAATTTATCATTTTTGGAGGAATTGGTTTCTACATTGTGCGTTTAAAGCTTGATTATGAATTTTGAGGTGATTGATATTTTTCCTTGCAACTAACTCAAATTCCCCTTCACCGCGGGAAGAGTTTTCAGTGTCTAATCAGGCTCAAAGTGGGCCACAGCCCAAATTTCTCCATTTCACAATTTGGTTGGTTTTTTTCATCAACAGGCGAAGGGGACTTTGAACTCAAGGCATCTTCACTATTTGAGAGAGAATTATGTTAGACCAAGAGCTAACTTGTCACAAATTTGATTATACAAAATAATAAAGGGGGTAAAACTACTCATTAGGCATCAAATTTGAGCAAAAGAAATTGCCACACGCGATACAAAAAGGACGCTCACTCCCACTCCAATTGAAAGCACATACAAGTACACACTCAATTTTAGCAAAGTTAATAATCGAAAATGACAATTACACACTCAATTTTAGCAAAGTTAATAATTAATTAGAGTAGCAAAAACCAGACACTTTCTAACAAACAACATTCATCTTCTGCTTCCTGGCCGTAACAAACTTCCTCCAAATGGTTGTGATCTCCCTTGTCTTTTCCAAATCACTCTTCTTACTCTCTAGTGCCCTCGTCTCTGCAGGTTTCCCATCCTCTCCGTCGGCAGCCTTCACATTGGAGCTAAGCTTAGATGGAAGTGTGTCTAGTTCATGCAACACTTTCTGGATATCATTCACTAGGCGCTCCGCCAAAGTGCGAGAGAAGTCTTCTCTAATCACGACACGCAAAACTGTGACATGTTGCGCATCTGGGGGCATGGTGTAGGCAGGGACAATCCATCCAAAGCGGCGGAGCAAGTCAGAGATTTCGAACTCGTCGTGGCGGTGGTTGTCCCTCAAAGAAAATGCCACCAATGGTACCCCTTCATCTTTAGAGACTATGTTGAAGCGCTTTGTCTTCTCCAATCCTTCTTTTAGTACTATCATGTTTTCGCGACAATTTTCCATGACATTCCTGTATCCCTGGTTTATATGCACAAAATTCAATTAATTATGTCATACATATCTTAAGATGATATGATCACCAAGCTTTTTGTTATAGAATATCGAATATTATCATGAAACTTCAATGTTTAATGAGAACATTGCATTCGTCTACTTATCTTATCACAATATGACGTCTTTATAATTCTTGATTTGGCTAATTTTTTAGAAGAATGATCTCTGAATGCATATCACAAAATTGACATGTAGCTTGTTAACTATTTGACATGGACATTTATTTGGTAGCTTGCTTGCTTAGTGCGAGAGGCAACGCTAGTGGACTGTTTCTTGATAAACTATCTTAATTAGAAAAAATCTTCAAATTTCATTTATAATTTATAAGTGTACCTACCTCAAAACCCAAGCGAATCAGTTGATAATATTGAGCAATAACTTGGCTGGAACCTGCATTATGGAAAGCATGAAAACTCAGTCTACAGTTGGACATTTACCAATGAAGACAGTTTAAAGCTGGAACCTGAATAGTGTATTAAAACTGCTATGATATATCAATAAAATAATGAAGACAGTTTAAAGAGTAGGTACCTTTAGAGAAGTTGAGGGTGAAGGTAGGTTGATCTGCTCCAAGATAGTTGATATGGAAGATGAGTTCCTCAGGCAAGTCCTCTTTGTTCCTCCAGATGACCCACCCAATTCCTGCATACACAAGTCCGTACTTGTGTCCACTAACATTGATGCTCTTCACTAAGGGCAAACGGAAGTCCCACTCAAGTTCTGGGTACAAAAATGGTGCAATAAACCCACCACTTGCTGCGTCTACATGGATTGGAGTATCCCATCTGCGCAAGCCAAAAAAATTTCAAAGTTAGGTGTTATACACATATGTAATGTTATTTAGACTACATCAACATTACTGAGTCACATCAGTAAATAAGATAAAAACAGAGAGAGAGAGAGAGAGAGAGAGAGAGAGAGAGAGAGAGAGAGAACATACCCAGTTTCCTTGTTCTTCTCTACCAAGAGATCATTCACGCGCTTAACATCTTCGAATTCTCCATTGAGAGTGGAGCCGAGGATAGCAGCGACGCAGATGGTGTTCTCATCAACCATCTCCACTGCTTTCTCAGGGTCCATTACATAGTATCCTTCCTTCAACTTCACCTCCTTCAACTCCACCTCAAAGTACCTTGCAAATTTCTCCCAGCACACCTTCAATTAATCCATACAGTAACAATATTAGTTGGATTGACTGCAATGCGTTTTCGTAACATTCCATTAGCTACTTAAATCACATTACATTAATTATATGTGACAGACTGTGTTTTAATTATCAACTAATCATATATAATAAATAACCAATGTAACAAGTACATGTCACATAATTCGATTCACTAATGTAATGATGTAGTTTAAAAAAGAGTGTCCCTAACATCAATCATTGTTGAATTTTATTTATTAAAATTGATGAAATAAATATGATGAGCATATATAAATACCTGGACATTGGCTCCGGTGACAATGTTGGGGTTGTCAATGGGCTTGCCCTCAGCTCTCCTCTTGTTCTGCCACTTTCTCTTGAAAGCTAAGCCGGCCAACATGATGGCCTCAGAAGAGCCCACCGTTCCCACTCCAACTGCTGACTCTGACTCCTCCAATGGGGCATTGAATAGATGAGCTATGATATTTACGCACCGATTCTGTGTGTTCATATATATATCATGCACAAAAACACAACACATGATTAATTAGCTCTAAACATCCAACATAATGTGTAAGTTGAGTTTAATTTTTAATCAAGATACAAAGCTCTCTTAATTAATCTGTGTTTTGAGTTGTTAATCATATCAATTAACATGATGATTGATGACAGGCCTGGGTGTCATCCATCAATTGGAATTTACATAAGCTTTTTCCTAGAGAAACGCTACAAAAATGACAGCCTAGAAGTTGGAGGATACAATTAGAGGGACTGTTAATTAATCTGTGTTTGTCGAATTATGTAGCACTTACTATATCAATTATTATGATCAACTACTCGTTAAGATGAAGCATAATGCAGTTCTTGCTTACGTGACGCAATGGTTTGCTATACTTTGTTAGACACATCTTTCTACTAGTCAAGTTAGGCTCTTTTAGGACTTTGACATTTGAAATCATCCTCTCCGTCCCTCCTTGTCTATTTGAGAGAGAGAGAGAGAGAGAGAGAGAGAGAGAGAGCCCATTGCCCACGCATCTTGGCATAAACTGTGGGGTGGACCAAATCAACGCTAATTGTTTTTCAACTACCATCCTTTTTTCTTTCTTTTTTTTTGTTTGGTATTATTTTGTTTCTTTGAATTTGTCATCTCTTTCAATTTGAAAAGAGAAGCGTCATGTGAATAAGAAATATTTTATGTTTTTATAGACGGGCCAATAACTAGTTTAATGATGCTTTATCATATTACTAAAGTTTAACTAACTTTAGAAACAAAAACTAGCTGATGATGCTTTAGCATTTTAAAAAAAACATTATCTTAGTCATTTTAGAAACAATAAGTCAAATCCTAGGAAAATAATTGAGTTTCCCGAGTTTACTTTTTTCTCTAATTTTGCAACTAAAAAAGTATAGTTTTGTCAATGACCCACTAACGTAGTAATTTAGAGTAATTGATTTCCCAAACAAGATTTTAGATTCGAATCCTAGCATCCTTGTAGTTTTATTATCATTTCTCAGTTACTTCCAATGACCCACTAACGTAGTAATTTAGGGCATGTTTACGTATCAGTAATGGGTATGGGAGGAAAGGGAATGATTTCCATTCCTGACATCCCCTGCGTTTACTTGCAATCATGAATGAAAAAATAAGTGGACCCCACCTCAACATCCGTAATCACATCCCCTCAAAACTAGGTATCAGATCAACTAGGGGGGAGTAGTCGATACGATTCCCATTCCTGTTTTCTCTTATTAACTTCCAAAAATACCCTTACCACTTTACCATAATTCCAACTAGAGGTAGTTTAATCGTGTGAAGAATGTGTGCCCCATCTGCAACTCTGAAGCATTGATGACCACGGGGAAGAAGAATGTACAGAAATGGGGTGACAGTTGAATGACAAAGGGCTTCCTTCCTTTGTTCTTCTACTAATTTTCTTTTGTTATGTATTTTTGTATATGCACTCAGCATATATATATATATATATACTGACCAATAGTAACACCATCCCAGCTCAATTATTTGTTGGCTTTTCGAAAACATTGGTCATGTATCTATCAAACTTGTACAGACTGTTTTTTTTATTTTTTATAATTCAGTCTTCATGTATGACATTTTAGTTTGGTCACCTTAGCCAATTTGAGAATTATATATGTGTTGTGGTGAAAATGTGTAGGACATTTTAGTAATCAAATTAATTTGGATTCTGATTCATGAAAATTAGTAAACAATAACAATGGGAATCAACCCCATTCCTTTGCTAATTCCATATGTTTAGTAAACAGCTTAATGGGAATTATTCTTCCCATACCGATTCAGTAGTTCTCCGATTCCTAAATTCTCTGATTCCTTACTTTCTCCATTACTGATACGTAAACATGCCCTTAGAGTAATTGATTTCCCAAACAAGATTTTAGATTCGAATCCTAGCATCCTTGTAGTTTTATTATCATTTCTCAGTTACTTTATTGGTTTGAAAACAAAATTTTACACTGCATGATATGTTGTGGGCTCTTATTTGATATCACAATCCATCAGTCTATCCACAAAGGGAATATTAGGTAGAGGTAAAAAACTTTCTTTGCCCAGTGGCCAGCACAAAATAGTATGGCTCAATCATTTCAGGTGAAATTGCGATTTTTATTTTGTGGCACTTTTAAAAATAAGAGCTAGTTGAAGGCTACAGGCAATACAAAAGTCTGTTTAAGAGTTATTTTGGGGAGTTGTCACCACAGCCAATCATTTATTAGCATGTGGAGGTTGGGTGGCATGTCACTCCTCGTTTCTATAAAATGAACGACGTTGCCAACAGGGCATTTGCTTTTCAAACAATATTATATGATAACCTTGACCAATTCCCACCCACTCGGACACTCGACTCATGGTACGTATTAAATTATGAAGCAAATGTGATATTAATTATATGGATATGGATCCAAAACGGGATATGGGGTTACCTGGAGCTCAGTGGTGACAGGGTATTCATCCATGTCCACGTAGTTCTTGTTGATGGAGGCCATCATCAGTTTATCGCACTCAGGCTCCATCCATGTGGTCACGAACGACGCCAGATTCAACCTCGGGTTGCCGTCCAACATAAGCTCGTCGTTTATGATCTGGTACGCTGCCTCCTTGGGGATCGAGTTTTCCGCCATTTTGAATCTGTATGATCGATCAAAATAAATATGAATTCATCAGCAATAACATCGATGATCAAATTAAATATGAATCATACATACATAAAGAGAGAGATTTCTTTTGCTGTCAAAATGTATTATGTCGTTAGAATGTGAATCTAAGATTACCTGGGGAGAGAAGTTCGAACATATCGAGAAGCGAAGGTTGAGTGGACGGAGACATCCGACTCCGAAGCAGTCTTTGAGAGAACCATGGTGATGGATTGATGATGATGGTGTAGTAGTTTCAGAGACAGATCTAGAAATGCGGATATGGGTTTTGAAGAAGGAAGAAGATGGATGTAGACAAAGTCACCAAATGAAGTAGTAGTATACAACTTAGGGAAGGGAAGAGTGGGGCACATGTATTTATAAGGAAAAACAATTCCAAAGGAAAAGGTTATTAAAATAATGTATTATTCAAAGTTTTAGAAAGTTGCCAAGTTGGAACATGGACGGTGCGTTCCGACCTTATGGTGTTTTAAAATAATAGTATAATAGTAACAAAGGAGACGGGTATGTTCTCTATGAGCCTGCCTCAGCCTTACCCTTGGTTTTGGACTTTACTTTTGAACCCATTCAAAGTCGGGGGGGTCATTTTATAGACTTGCAGGAAAAGATAATAAAAGTCGTGTCGTGTAGAAGGTTTGGTTTAATCAGTCAATAGCATTAGCAAACACAAAACAGAGATGTGGGACTTGTTTTTATTTTATTTTCATAGTTAATTTTTTTTTATTTACCCAAAAAAGAAAAAAAGGGGAGGTCTATTCAAGCTCTCCTTCATCAGCGCTGAGTAGTGGGGAAGGCTTGTCAATCTCTCTAATTGGAAAAACACGGCAATTAATCACTTTCTGCTTTTGTTATTAAACTGATCAGTAATATGCTGAAAAATAATTCTCATATTTTATTAGATTGGAGTCGACTTTGAAGGTGACTTTTATTTATTTGGACCCAAACTTTGAAAGTGTCGGACCAAAAATAAAATAAAAATTAGGTATTAATCATAAAAATCTTTACAATAAGGATTTGATACGTAGAGTATTTCTGTTTGGGTTTTGATACATATGAATCAAATTTTGTTTTTGGATTTGCCCAAAGAGGACCAGATTCGTTGGGCTTGTCTAAATTAGAGAGGTAAAATACAATTTTTCCCTTTTTGTTTAAAAGCCTTGGCCAAATCAGATCTCATTCTCTTTTATACGACGATGGAGCTCTCTTCAACTCCTTGTCGCAATGAAGCCATTGCCGTCTGGATCTGCCATCTAAAAGCAAGCCACCACGTTCGATTCCTTACTGGGTGGGAATGACGACGGCATCAGAGCCGCGTCCATGAAGTAACCCAAATTCATCAAGCAACACTGTCTCTTGCAGCAGCGTCTGCCTCAACTGGCATAATTGTGTTGTACTTTAGTGACTTGAGCCATTGCAATTTTGGAGAGGAATGCCAAAAATACTAGATGGCAGTTGCAATTTCTTCTCTAATTATGCTCTGGCTATTGGAAGCATGTTAGACCACTTGTTTGTATAGGCCATAGGATTTGATTCTGGTGAAACTGTAGATGTTGGCGCTAAATCTGAACAGATAGAGATGAGTGCAACTTACAATCGAGATGGACGATCGAGAGATCGATTGAATATTGGATGCCGATTCTTCCCGTCCTTGGATGCTGATCCTGAATAGAAAGAAGTCGAGACTCGTAAGGTATATGGAACCGGTGTGGAACCAGCCTAAGACCCTCCGATGCCGAAGTAAGTTTGTTGTTTTAAGAGCTCTTGCTGTTGACCATATAGAAGTATAAAAGTCAAGCTGAAAAAGTCTTACCCCTGTATTGTAGTGGAAGGGGCCTATTTATAGAGGGCATTTAGTATGCTCTTAGTACTCATTTTCGATGTGGGACTCGTGGGAAGGCCTTCTGAGGTCGACACGAGTCCTTAGATATTTTGGGCGGGTACTTCGAGGTTGATTCTCTACAATCGGTAAGGGATGCCGATTGTAGACGAGTTGGGCGCGTAATGGCTGATCGCAGCTTTGAGACAATGCCATCGGTGGCCGATGCCGATTGTCCGAGGCCTTGGGTACTTGGGCGAGTTTATGAGATCCACGTGTCGTTGTACGAGTGGAGGGTCAGATATGGTACAAACAGTAGACAATTGGAGATGGTTTATGCAGAGGATATCGGATGTCTTGTTGGGTTTTTTTGGGTTTTTTGAATTTTTGTATGAAAGGGTATTAACAATGTACTTATATGACATGGTAATAATAATGTACTTTTATGATATGGTATTAACAATGTACTTCGGGCTTTTTGGGCTTATTTTGGGTTTTTTTAAAGTTTTTTGTGTTGGGTTTGTTTTAAGTTAATCAATGACAGTCATGTAATTTATAGGAATTTCAACACTCATTTCTTATGTAGTAAATGGTTTTTGGGTATGTTTGTAAATTACATTCCATGTGAATTTTTTTAATATATAATTTCAGGTATACTACTAAAGCTCCCATCATTATATCCATGCATGTGTTGTCCGTGGAAAGATTAAACTTACAAACCACAAAAGTATTCAGCTAAACGAAAAAGAAAATAATATTTTTTGAGGTTCGAATTTAGAAATAAATTTTATTCAAGCACGTTTGAAGTAAACCCCATATTTTATGGTATGGTCGAGTACCAGGCCAAAATACATCTTGGTGTGTGATACTTAAATATCTATGTAATGGTGGTTACAAAACGAATATTTATAATGGAGACATAATTCCGTTGAGGCAAAATTATAGAAAGAGATTTTCTAAATCACTTATCTAAATATAATAGCCAAAGTTAAATTAAAAGTCCAAAAGGTACTGCTGCACTAAAAACGAGTTGGGGAAATTATATTAAATTTTGCAAGAGTGGCAACATTGGATCCATAAACTTTTAATGAAGCCAATGATGCAGGAATTTGGATGAAATATTTAAGATTTAGATGGCAGGGGGATATTGACAAAAAAAAAAGAGAGTTGATATCCTTAATTTTTTTTAAAAAAATTATGGGATAAATTAAAAGTTAGATATAAGTTCATAAAGCATTTCACCAGTTTAGCCCTTAAACAATAACAGATTGCGATGGTTAACCAATCCAAAGAAAACAAGACTAAGTCAAATTGTTATTGGCCCAGAAAGAGCAGCCATGTCGTTTTCTGAATATCAACCTATTACCTAGAAGGAGAAGGGTCCAATTATCGGAAAGAGAAACGTGGTAAAGCAAACGTTGAATTGAATGGAGGCAGGCAGGGAGACATCCGACTCAACTGCAATGTTTGAGAGAAAGTATATGGTGTATTGAGACACACGAAGGCAAATACCAACTTTGAGGAATGAAGATGATCAGTCTTTGCATTCAAAATGAAATTGTTATCTACGAAAAGAAACAATGAAAGGTGTTCAATTATTCAAAGTTGCCAATTGCCGGCCGCTTCCTTCTCAAGTGATGAGAAGAGGCATAAGGGGGTGAAGGAATCCCAATCACAGGCACCAGAAAATTTGGATACATGACTCGCCATTGTGTGTGCTGCAAAGTTGCATGTGCGAGGACCAAAGGAGAAACAAATAGATGTGAACTGTTGACAAAGTTGCATTCTAAGTTGGCGTCAGGACAACTTCCATCAAAATTTATGGGCTCACCCCTACTTGAGTCTTCGGGCCGTAAAAGGGCCGAGGGTAATTGCATAGCAACGCTGTCGTTTTGCCATACTTGGACCGACATAACTCGGCCTAATGAAATTAGGGTTTCCGAGCGCAGGTCGAGACCCTATAAATTGAACCACATCCTTCAACCTTCTCACTGTCTCACGCACCGTCTCTGCCCCGTCTCTGCCTCTGCATTCTCGGTTCACCTTCATGTTAGCTTTTTTGATGTTGTTTCTTTTGCGTTTGCATACTTAGTGTTAGCATTTTTAGGGTTTTAATTTCGGCGTCGAAAAACTGATATCCAGCTCCTCCTGAGTAAGAATGGGCTCTTCGTATGAGCCGACGCAACAGTTTTGTGTTTGATTTTTTTGGTTTTTGGTTTTTGGTTTTTCCTCTTTACTTTTGTAGTGATTCATATTGGAGGTCAGGGATTTGGGATTGAAGTGATGCTACTTTCCCCATATGATCGAAGCAGATTCAAACTTGCGCTATTTTTAATTTCCAAGCCAGAACTCTGATCTTTCCCAAATCCCAACAACTCATTGTTATCTATTCTTCTTTTTGTTTCTTTGTCTTTTGAAATTTCAAATCTTTCTTCAGTTTGGGTTTTTGAAATTTGGTGTTTTTGTGTTTTGAATGATTTTTATTTTTGAAATTGGAAAAAAACCATAGAAAGAAAAGATGGAAGTGATGATTATTTCCCCAAATGATCGAAACTGAACAAACTGAGCGACTTATATCTCTGTATTACACAGAGACACCAAGCCAGGTGTTTCTGATCCATCTTTATTCTTTATATCAGATCTCTGTCACTTGCTTTTGAATTTTGAATTTTGGTGTTCATATAATTGGTTAAGTGATCAATTTTCTTTTAAATGCTCTGCTAATCCCATATGATGCTCCTTCCTTCATCATCTCATCATTAACAACTTTGCCTTTGAAATCGTCTGCCGACAATGGCAACAAATTCATGCAGGCTAAGTCATCAACTTTCAACTTTCAATCTGGTTTGTGTTAGATTCAAGGGATGCTCGTATATTGTTACTTGATAATTGGCATCCAAAAGTTTTATTTTAATAATTGGCTTTTGATCATAAAATTTCCTTAATTCTTTCCCTAGGAAGCATAATTGAAATGTCTGTTCTTCAAGTACTCAGAAGTTTCATCATTTTTGGTTTCTTTTTTCTTTCGATTTTGCTGTTTTCGGCAAGAATGTGATTTTTTAATAAATATAAAGGTTTATCTGACAGGCTGACCTGGCATGTCACGTGGGTGAAACAATGTTTTATAAATTAAAAATTATTAAATTGAAAAATCATGGAAAGTAAAAAAGAGAAACTAAAATTTTGAAGAACAAAAATCAAAATCTGGGATTTGGACAGGGGATGGGGAGGAGTGGAAGGGAGAAGGGGAGCGGGTGAGTTGTAATTATTTTTTCCTCTATTTTTTCTTTCTTTTAGTTTTCCAATTATTGTTTACCGAGGGTTTAGGGCAGCGAGTACAGCCGTCCGGCTATACTATTCATTGTAAAAAATAAAAACACCGGAGCACAGCCGTGCGGCTATACTATCTTACAAAAAATAAAAAAAGGGAGTATAGCCGTGCGGCTATAATATTTATACACGAAAAAAGAGGACCCCCTTGCGATTAAGCCCCACGTCTCAAAATAAGTATAGCCGCCCGGCTATACTATTTTAAAAAAAAGAAAAACTGTGTATTTTATATAAAATAAAAAAATAAAAAAAAAGAGGACCTACAACTTAAAAGTTAGGTGACTATATAATATTTTAATATATATTATTTTTATTCAATAATATGTGAGAATTATTTGTATAATAAGTTAATTTTGTGTGTCTTATTGAAACTTTTGTTAAAAATACGTGTATTAAACATGAAAAAGTCCTAAGTTCTTTGTAAGGTAATTACTCTGGGTGTCTTAAACTACTCTTATCGATAAATGAAAATCGAGGAAAAATATTTATAATAAAAAAAAGAGATCCCAATAAATTACTTATTTTCGTTGGGTGTCTTAATTAAATTTCCCCATATCCCAAAAGCCCCAAGACCCAAAGCCCTAGTCTTTGATTAATATAATTATTATTAATCAAAGCCAAGCCTATAGCCAAGTCCATTAGCCCAACTCTCCAATGTTAACCACACTTAACAAACCATCATAGTGCTTTGTTTATAAACACCTTTATAGGAGTGGATTTTCGATGTGGGATTTTCCCAAAGGGCACCTCAAAAGATAAACCTACAGAGAAATCCATATTTTTATTGTTGGTGCAATGTGGAAATATATTTAAAGAGTATAGCCCTAGTCTCAAGTAAAGATATATACCAAACACCAATTTCAGTTTCCCAGGTCCTTTAATGACAGCATCAGTTGCTCGATACTGATCACCGAAAGCATGTCTTCCAATGCATATTGGCTTTGTCCAGCCTGGAAACAGCAACAATCAACATGGTTCTACTCCAGTAAAAATATAGAGCCACAACATGAAATTATCATACCTGGGATAAGGCGAGGGATGTTTTTGCAAAGAATTGGTTCTCTGAAAACAGTACCTGTAGAAAAAGCCCGCAGCCATTGTAATTTAGCCAGAAAATTGTTCAAAAGATGAAAATGTATAGTTGCCAGTTCACTAACCATTCAAAATATTCCTAATAGTGCCATTGGGACTCCTCCACATACTCTTCAAGTTAAACTCCTTAACACGACCTTCGTCTGTTAATTACAACCACAATAATATGGAATTCGTCCATTTCTCAGTGCTGACTGAAAATATTAATCTGCAAAGTTTTCAGCAATTGTTTGTGCGTTTCTTTTTTATTTTATTTTTAGTTTTAGTAAATCCTGTTTGGTTGCTACGTAAATTGAATGTTGGTTGTTGATAGTGGTTTAGTTTTAGTTGTGCAACACTTTTAAATTTTTGTGATCAAAGGAAAAGTAAGGAATTTGACACGTTTTATTGACTTTGCTGAAAAATCAGCAATCTTTATGAAGAAAGAAACCTATCAAGTATACTTAAATTTTGAGATAAATCCTTGATATTCTGAGAAGTAGATCCATCAATTTATAGCAGCAAGGAGTTGTAACTGAAAAGAAAAAAATTATCAGCAACAATATCTGAACACACTCTGGTTGCTACCAACCATAGGAGCCAATTCACAATCCATGATTGAGACTGAAGTAGTCTGTCACCAGGTACAGGATCCCTGCGCAGTGAAAAACCTCGGGATAGTGTTTGGGATAGATGGGGAAAGCCATGTGAGGACATATCTGTAGGGCACACGAGTGTTGATTTTTATGGTGTTGGCCATAAGAAGCAAGATGGGAAAGTCCATAACCAGCTAGCTCCTGCTCTTGGTAAGAGGTCTCACGGTTACCCTGTTGAGACAGAGAGTGGAGAATGGTCTGAAGACTACTCAAAGCCTGGTGGCTCGAGCTTAGTCGAGTCCCGTCCCATAGCGTCCCACCCTTGGAGTTGGAGACGGGGAATTGTTGTCTCGAACATGTTGGACAGTGTTCCAGTTTAGTCGTCCAAGTAATAATAGGACCCAGCAGCTTTTTGCTCCCTATCCTTGGTTGAGTTCAATTTGTTGATTCTTGGGCGATAGTTTGTAGGGTCACGTCTAAATGTGATATCCAGTTGCTGCAATGCCACATTGGAAAAACAAAGAGAGAATCAAATCGTAGAACAACAAAAATTACATTACAGTCAATTGGAGGACAAAGTATATGCAAGGCAAGGAGGTAAATTAAACAAGCTGCAAGACTTACAGATAAGAAGAGATTCATCCCAGTCAACAAAGATTGTGGAGAATTTGCAATACAATCAACTGATGGCTTTCCTTCATAGACAATAACTTTGTCGGCCAAGTAAGTAGCCATAATGAAATCATGCTCAACCACGAATGCGGTTTTCTTAGCGTGGAGGATGAACCTCTTTATGACTTTTGCTGCAACGATACGCTGCTCAGAATCAAGATATGCACTTGGTTCATCTATCAGATAGATGTCTGCAGGCTGCAATATCAAGCAAAAAGTAGGCTGCATAAGTTCAAAGCAGATGCATCATACTGTACACTTAATTTGTTATTGCTGTAAACTTAGGTAAACTAAAATCAATCAGTTACCTTTCCAAGGCATACACATAGAGCAACCCTTTGCAGCTCTCCACCAGAGAGTTTGGTAACATCTTGATCCATTAATTGCCCAATTTGGAGAGGCTTCATCACGTCTGTCACAAACTGGGGATGTGTACAAGAATTGCGAATTTTTTCATGAAGCATGTCTTTGACTTTTATTGCACGCTTTGTATTAATTTTCTGGGTTTTGTAGGAAACATGAAGCTCAGGTATCTCCACATCAGAATCAGGTTTCAATAGGCCAACCTACAAATTGAACAAATCAAATGTATGCAATGACTCCACGTATATATCAAGATGAAATTTAATTTTAACATATGATTGAATTGATTAAAAAGAGTGAAAATGTTAAGGACTAGTACGTACCAGCATTCTCATAAATGTAGTCTTCCCGGATCCATTCTCACCCAACATCACAATAATTTGAGAATTGCTAAATTCGCCCTCTATAACTTGAAGCTTGAACTCTCCCAACGTTTTAGTCATCGATGGGTATCTATACCGTGCATATGTCTCAACTTCCTCACCGCTTTCTTGTGGAGTCTCAGAAACCTAAACAAACAAGACAACAACATGATTATATATCTTAAAAAATATTGATTAAGCGCTTAAAACCAGCATTTTCATTGACAGAATTTATTATCTTACCTTAAAAGTCAAAGATTCATCTCGGAACCTTAGGTTTTCTGTAGGAACAAATCCCGCCAAAAAGATGTTGATTCCTTCTCTAACTGAGAAAGGTAGGGTTACAACTCCATATGCACCCGGCTTCCCATATAAACAACAAATGTGATCTGATAAGTAGTCTAGGACGCTCAAATCGTGCTCCACAACGATTACATAGCTGAAAATGTAAAGCAAAGCAAAACATCCATTACTTAAACATGCCCAATGTAAGCAAGAAAAGACCCCACAAATATAAGCAATGAAAAAAAAAAATTGGGGCAAGAAGAGAAGAAGAGAGCTATGAAAACAAAACCTATCAGGCCTGATCAAAGATCGGATGACTTTGGCAGCTTTAAGCCTTTGTTTCACATCAAGATAACTTGAAGGTTCATCAAACATGTATATATCTGCCTTTTGCGAAGCAAGAAAAGCAACAGCGAATCTTTGAAGCTCCCCACCAGATAAATTGACTACGTTACGATCTAGAACCTGGTTTAGCTCAAGATCAACAATGACTTCTTCCATCACACCCCTCTCATCTTTCTGTTTGAGCAACTCCCCTACATTGCCTTCAGCTACTTTTGGAATGTGGTCAACGTATTGGGGTTTTATAACAGCCTGTTTAAAGGAAAAATAAAACATATTACATAAAACAGCAAAGGAAAATAAAAACATAATATATAAGTGCCCGACTATGCAATTAACTGGACTAAACAACATCAGACACAGCATAAGTGTCGGAAACAATCCATGTTCAACATAGAAAAGCGCAAGAACAGAAGGTTAGGTAAAAAGTGAAAAACAAAAACAAAACAAAACTGGTAACGACGAAATAATCTATATACCTACCTTCAACTTATCTTCCAAGAGACGAATAAAATAACTTTGCAGCTCCGATCCTCGAAAGTAAGTCAAGATTTCCTGCCAATTTGGAGGATTCTACACAAGAATAAAAAGCAAATTATAGTCATTCAAAAGAATTAATTCATCAAACAAAACTTGAGAAAAATGATCATATACTAGAAAAAGGGGAGAAATTGGAAATATGAAAAAACGATGATATGTAAAGAGTATTACATTGAAACGACCCAAATTTGGTTTGAGCTTGCCAGCCAAAATTTTGAGGGCAGTTGACTTCCCAATGCCATTAGTTCCAACCAAACCAAGAACTTCCCCTGGCCTAGGGACTGGTAACCTGTAATTATGTATAATTTAGTTTCTGTTAACTTAAAACACTAAAACCTGAAACTGATCAAAGTGGTAAGGAAGTAACTGACCTGTGTAATTTAAAAGAGTTAGACCCATAGCGATAGGTTGTGTCTTTGTCCAGTGCCTTTGGCAAGTTGATGATTTCAATTGCTCCAAATGGGCATTTCTACATGATCATAGCCAGAATGAAAACCATGCCACCTTTAAAACACAACTAGAGTAGATAAAAATAAGATGAAAATAAGACAAACAAAATACAATCTTCACTGACCTTAACACATATACCACAGCCAATGCACAACTCTTCGGAGATACGAGCAACCTTGGACACAGGTTTGACCTCAATGCATAATTTACCTGCACATTTATGGTTAATAATAGATAACAAGTAGCATTTATGCATAAGAAGTCCATGTACAAAAAGAAGTAGCATAACATACATACCAGTACGTACGACCGGGCAAGTCCTCTTACATTCCTGGTTACATTTTTTGGGCTTGCATTTGTCAGGGTTCACTATTGCTATGCGAGTCGACCGATTTTCCATCTAAAAGGTGAACAAAATGTTAATGATATGAACCCCACATGAATAAATCAAATAAACTTATAAAGAAATTCAAACCAAACTAGCCACCTGAACATGATCGGTAAAGTCTAGAATAATAAATATACTTGTAGGAAACTCTCAGTGCAAAGTAAGGGCAATACTAAATGCCTCATTCAAGTTACAACTAAAAATTTTGAAAGATGAGGAGGTGGTCTTATTTCTTACTTGGGCTCACTATATGATTATTATGACAAACAAAAATCGTTACATGATGATCTCGAAAACAGAGAAGGAGTTGAAAGAAAGAAACACACATGCAATGCAGTTGAAGATTGAGAGAGACAGGACTTGAAGAGGAACTTACTGTGTGTTACTGTAGATGAAGATAGCTTTGATAGCTTTGATAGCTTTGAGAGAGAGAGAGAGAGAGAGGATGATTGATGAACGAGATGGTATGCGAAGGCTTATGATGAAGAATATTATTTATACGAAACTCTGATAACGTGTTAAACAAGTTTCTTTTGTTTCCTTATACTTTTTGGTTTTTAATTTTGAAATGATTGGGATTTTTAAATCAGTGTTGGGTTAGGATTGCAAGTCAGTACCTGCACTGCACAAAAGTTAGCACAACAGTGAAATTGCGATTTTGCCCCCACTTAGATGGTGGGTCTCTGCCTTCGGTTTTGGAGGCTTATGAACAGTGACGATACCATTTTACCCCTGAGCTCTCTTCTCAGCCTTACACCCTTCCTCTTCGTTTCCTTTTCGTGTGTTTCGAGAAATATATCGATCAATTCCGATTCCTTCTTTTTTATTGATTCTTTTCCGATATAATTGAATGGTCTGGCGAGTCCAGACAGAAACACATTAGACTCGGGCAATGCGGAAGGCCAAAACCGCACTCTGCTTAATCACAGCCACTGGCCTCACCTTTCATGCCTTCAACCCCAATTTTCTATCATCTTCCTCCGATTCCTTCCCCAACTTTCCTGAGAAATTACGCGCACCAATCCATGGCGTCAATCGATCTTCTCGCGCAATCGCCACCGTCCGTTTCCTCCCTTTTCATTCTCCATTTTTGTCTTTTTTTTTTTTTAAAAAAAAAAATTCTTCCCTTTCCGTCTATCTCTTTCACTGTTCATAATATGTTCCTGAAAGTTGCAGATTGCTTTCACTGCTGTTGACTACAAGTTCACTTTACATGGACTCTCGGTTGACTCTGATGAGTATCGTCAGAAGCTATCTGAGGTTGGTTGCTTGGTTGCTTTTCTTTTCTTTCTTACTATGAAGTATGAAGTATGAATCATTGAATTTCCTCAGGAACGTAAGTTTCTTTCAGAAGAAATTAGATAGATTTTGTAATTGTTTGCTTCTAGTCTGAGAACCATTATGAAGGAGCTTCAGTTGTATATCTTATGAATATGATGATGGAATTTAGGTTCATAGAAGGTCCGCCACGAGAATTCGGAAATTGTGTGAGGTCAATAGAGGGTTCTATGTGAAAGCTGGCCAATTTGTTGCAGCTTTGCGACAGGTTCCCAAGGAATACTCATTAACTCTTTCCTCATTGCAGGATCAGGTATGAATGAACTATGTGTTTATATCTGTTTCTTTATATTCCGTTTTGTTTTCTAGATAAGGTGTATATTCATGTAGGTGGGAATTAATCTAACTTTATGATATGGTGACTATCTCGTAACTATTGGCTTAGGCAGTTCCTTATCATTTCAAGGCTATTAAAGAGGTACTAATCCGCAATCTGGGACCCGAGCTGTCAGATATGTAAGTGTTTTGTCACATTGCAGTGTATGCACCAACTTGTGGGAACCCAGATAAAATTTTTAAATAGAAGGAAAAAAAAAACTTGCAGACTCTTAAGACTTGCTATTAATTATGGAGTGTTTTGTGTTGGAAGGGATTATGAAGGATCATAAACTTTGGTAATATATTGGGGTTCCTTAGTTTGTATAAAATGGTGGAAGGCATGATAAATGGTGTATGCCTTCTTCCTTTTTTGGTTTCCTTATTCTTTTTTTTCTTTGTAACTGTTATAGCATGTATGTTTCTTGCCATTTACAAGTTTGTATCATGTGCTTTATAAGTTATTGCATCTTCTCATTGTGTTTCATCAGTGGAACTCTATACTTGAAAGTTTTATGACTTTGGGATCTTTTTCTAACTCGATGAACTTCCACATTTGTCTTGTTGCAACTTTTTTTTCCCTTTCAATTGCTATATGAAGTATAGTCCTTGTCAAAAAAAAAAGAAATTTTGGTTGGTAGCATGTGCCTTAAAAACTTTTCCTTCTTCTTAATGTGTTTCTGCAATGGAACTCTGTACTTTAAAGTTGAAAGGGCTGTTATTTTTCTGACTTTTGCATTTACCTCAGATTTTTGTCACTCGATGAACATCCGATAGCTGCTGCATCTATTGCTCAAGTACACCGGGGAGTTCTTAAGGGTCATCAAGAAGTAGCAATTAAGGTTGGTGAGCAGACTAAACCTCTGTTTTAGTAAATTTCATTAATTTTAAGACAACTGTAATTGGTGAATAAACCAGTAACTCTTCTTCGAAACTCTTCATTTAAATTTGAGTTCATTGGGAGAATATGAAAAAAATTGAAAGGGGTGTGCTACACTCTCATGAGATTTCTAAGTGGAACTTTTCAATTCTCAAGAAATGATAAAAGCTTGGTTAGTGGTTTGACCAAATTCCTAAACTTTTAGTTCCTGTGGACATTCTTCCTTAGAACGAGGGAATCAAATTCCCAACTTTTCAACATAGGAAATGTTTAATGTCATTTATTCAATTTAGAAATATAGAATCCAAAATGAAGTTATTTTACCAATATAAGAACAAGGACTTTATGATCTTCCCTTTTTCGCATTTCCTAGACAAAACACTGCTGCAACCACCCAAGTTGAGATACAAACTATCTACTCAAGTTACAAACTAAAGAAGCTTATAAAGACAGACACTGAAACACCAAATAACAATAACAAGGACACCAAACTCTTTCTATCTTGGAATGCTGTGTTGAATATCATAATCTTGAAAAGCACAACATGAAGGAACACACACATTTCAATTCCCTCTCTCAAGCCATGACCAATATTAACTCAAAGTTTCCTTTGTAACTCTCACTAGCCATTCTAGGGGAGGTTGATTTAGAAATTTCTAGTCTACACCCTAAATTGGATGAAACACCAGATATGTGAAGGAGCCATAACAACATACTGTCACCCTGAACAAGCCAAAACAAAGATGAGATGGATAAAACAGTGCAACAGTAGTTCAAAATTGATTGTTAAACAGGAAATTTCTTGGTGGCAAAACAAAGGTGAGGTGGGTAAAAGAGTGGAACAATAGTTCAAAATAGTTTCACAAAAGAATAGTTACCTTTTTTTCGGTCAGAAAAAAGAAGAAGAATAGTTACCTGAATCCAGGATGTCTGATAAAATTATCCATTCCTTAACTTTTTCTTATACATTAAAACAAAAGAAACGTGTATGCTTTTCTTTTCTGTGATCCTTAATACTTTTGCATATAATGTTTTTTTGCTTCTCAATAAACACGTATTTATGACTGCAATGGTTATTAATTAGTTTTATCATGTGGATAATAGGTGCAGTACCCGGGGCTGGAGCAGCAAATGAAAATAGATGCAACAACCATGTATTTTCTTTCAAAATCCCTTGCTTGGGTACGCACTCAATCTCGGGACATTTATGTGATATATTGTAGTTGCAGTGAATAGGTTTTGCCTCTCCTAAAGGGTCATTGAAGTTTCTAAATAGTGTTACTCCCACAGAGATGTGATTTGTGGAGTTGCTGTGCAACCCTAGCCAATCAAGCACCTTATGCTTGTTAATGGCTTGTTATTCATTGACCTTCAATTTTGGAGTTGGCACTTGGCAATTTTTAAACAAACCAGTTTCCAGGCCAAGCGTAACTAATATCATAGCTTCGAGCCCTTGAGTGGGTAGGCTTATTTGCAGCCTTAGGTTTTATGATACTATGTTAAGTGCTAAGGTATGCTATCAATTTATGTTCTAAAATGTGCTCAATTACAATTCTTGAGTTTCATCTGTGTATAACATGTATAATATAAAGAAAACTTAGGCCTTTCTACTTTTCAACATTACATTTAGAATTTGTAGTCCTATGATTTTCTTTAGAAAGTAAAGAAAACTTAGGCCCTTTGTTCTCCTAATTCTTTGTTTCAGTGTAACTTGGACATACATTATTTACTGTAATGTGTTTTGAATGATTGTAATTTACTAGGGGAAATAAGTAGACTATCAGGAAATCTGAAATTTTCAGATGAAAATGAGTTGGCCTGCACAAATACTTAAGGGAAGTCATTTCACCCACCTGTAATTATCACACCAAATTGGTCATCCTACTCCCCCATTTACTGCATCCTACATAACAGGTTACACTAATTTATTTCTGCTCATCTATTTTTGACAAGCACAACAAACCTTTGTTGCGATTTATGTCATTTTTCTGTGGTTGTACTGTTGTATACCTGGTTTCTTTGAACACAAGTAACTGCCTGTTGTGAAATCGTTTAAGAATGGGAAAGACAAACGAACTCAGGAAACCCAAGGAAATAACCTAGAAGATAAAAAACACCAAGATTAATGTGGTTCAGCTATGTGCCTACGTCCATGGGGCAGAAACAACAAATCTCCACCATATCGATAATGGGTACAAAACAAATTATCCTATCAAGCCTCTAGATTCAAGACTTGATTAACAACTAGAAAGAACAAGAAAACAAGGAAACGCTATTATCTCTTTTCTTCTCTCTCACACACTTTGTCCTTCAATATTCTCTTAATCTAACTCCTTGAGTGGTAATCAATTGTTTTGCTCTCCAGTCACACACACACACTCTCTCTCTCTCTCTCTCTGGAATGATATTCCCGCTCACTCTCTTTGGAGTGCAATTCTGAATATTGTTCTCTCTTGCTTGCTGATGTTGATGCTTGTAAACTAGCACATCGGATCTCCTTATATAGCAACGATAAAGGCCTTCATCAATTAGGTAATCTAATCCTAATAGGAATCTGATTACCAAGCATATTGAACCCTCTTCAATTGGGAAAACAACTCCAACTGGGAATATGATTCTTATTCTCCAAGACGATTAGTCCTAACAAGCTTAGGAAACTCATCGTGGGCTGAAAAACCCAGCAGTGCCAAGATGTTATTGCTCTGTATCATATGTTATGTTTACTAATAACTGGCTTTAGCATCCGAGCAATACATTTTCAAACAATTTTCAGCCCTTTTATGATATGTTATGAACTGTTCCTAAAATGTTTTTTTTTTCGATTGTAGATTTGAAACAATAAAGCGAAATTTAATTTCTTGTCTCCATATAAAATAATTTTTTCTGAAAAGATTGAAAATATATATGGTTCAAGGTCTAAATGTTTGATATCAGGTAGCTTATTTTCTTTTGTTTTTCCCTTACTGGCTTTCTGTCTCTTGGCAATGTTTTTTCTTCTTTACTCCATAGTTTGCTGGATGCTTTTCAATTACTTAAAGACCTATTCTTTTCCCATCCAGCAGTTTTTCCCAGAATACAGATTTGAGTGGCTGGTATCTGAATTCGTACGGTCTATTTCTCTCGAACTTGGTGAGTTGTCGGATGACATTGGTAATTAGAAACATATAATTTCCTTTTAGAAAGTTCTCATTTTTGCCTTACCTATGGTACTTTTGTTTAAGAAACAATTTTTTTTGCCCTACATATAGTACTCTTCAGTTAACTTTTCTCGTATCAGGACATTCTAGAGAAATTAGGGGGTATGAAATTTATAAATAATATTTTATGACCTCTACTTGAAATGTTTTTGTATTTGTGATTTGAATACACCAAAAGTATCTCCTTTCAGTCCAGACAAGCTAGAGAGAGAAACTAAACCCAGACTCGAGACATGGACCCCGAATCCAGACTGTGGACTCGGGACATGGGACCTCGAACCAGAACCTCACGTCTACAGTTTGGACCTGGAACCAGAATCCTGGACTTGGGACACCATAACCTGTACCCTAAACCTGAACCCTGTATAAAATACACCACATTGGTGATAACAAACATAGATTCTACTCTTTAGGCATTTTAGCATGTAATTTCTTATGAGCCATCAACCATGCAAAAATCTGCACTTTAATGGGTACACCAGCCAAATAATCTTAAATGTCTGAAAACTTGATCAATAGGATTTTATATGAGAGAATGAACAAAAGTACTACCTGAAGTTCAAATGCATATCAATTTCTCTGTCAGATTAACCTGGGTTCAGGGAGATTATTGACAGAGACAAATTTTGAGAATTTTCTATTGTTCAAGTTCCTTCAAAAGTTAAATTCCAGGGAATGCTCTAGAGAAGGGGAAAAGGAAGTTATGTAAGAAAGGATTGTATTGTGATAGTTTAGAGTTGATGGATATAAATGAGGAAACAAATATTGAAAGAATAATTCATCATGCCAAATATCTTCCCAAAATTGACTTTTAGCCCCATTAACATTAATCCCCAAGATGCGTATTTCAAAGGACTCCTAAAGGAACTTCTCTCTACAAATTGAGAATCTCACCTATTGGATTAGACTCGGTTCATGGTCCTAATGTTTGAACACCATTATCAGTCTTGCTCAAAGGAGAAGCAGCACAGCCATTTTAGACATTTATTTTCAATAAGCTTCCAATTATCCCTACTTCCTAACACTTAAAAAATATGATTATTTCACTGTTCAGAATAAATGGGCAAGATAGCACCCAAAAAAGAAATCAATTTAAAAGCAGTGGTACAGTAAGCTTGGACAGACAATTGCCATCATATGATGATTTTGCTGCATCAAGCATGATCTGAATTTTAGTCTTCACATCATTATTGAAGATAGTGAAGACAATAATGGTTTTCGTCTCTTTAACTGTTCGACAGACTTTATTCAGGAGGCTAGGAATTCTGAGACAACTGCCAATAACTTTGCCAACAACAAATGGGTCAAGGTTCCTCGTGTATTTTGGGTATTATAGCTGGCATACTCCTCTTCATTTTTTATTTAGCCATCTGTGGAATATCTTTAATTTGGCAATACAAGAAGCTGACCACCATATATGTGTCCAGGACTTAACGACTCATCAAGTTCTGACGATGGAATTCTGTACAGGGCAGAAGGTATAGCCTTTTGAACTTGCTTGTGTAGTATGCATCTATGTATGAATTTGTTAGAGTTCAAAGATTTATCAAATTTTGTTGACCACCCACAACTGGCACTACTATCTAGTCCCAGAAACTTTTTCTAAAAGCAAATGGCTGGCTAGAGTATATTGCGGAAAAAAGTTGAAAATTTCTCTTTTTTGGGTAATCAACAATGGCAACCCAGGGATGGTGGATGTTAGGACCTGGGCCATGGTGCCCTAGAAATATGCCATGTAGGTCTAGGGCAACCTGTGTATGCTGACCTGTAAGCTTATAACACTATAATATTAGACTTGGCTACAAGTGTAAATTAGTGTATATTAGGGTGTAAATATGCCAATCTACCATAAATTTTCCATGAAGAATTCGTAAGTTTGATGGTTATTAGTTTCTGGATATTGGTTGAAGTGGGCCTTTTGTATATACTGTCTTGCATGCATATTGTTATTCCCATTGACTAAATCAGTACGCAAGTATCAAATGGACATAGTGCAGCTCTGTTAAGCTTAGAACTTGTGTTCTATGATTTGTTATGTTGTCGCTAAATCAAGTAGAGTGGTATTGGAGGTTAATTAGTGGAAGAGCGTTATGGGGTTAGGATTTGAATAGGTCAAATAAAGATTCAATTCCGATGGCTGTTATGTTGCTGAAATGGTAGTGATTGTAGCACTGCAGAAAATCAAATAATGGACTAGAAGAATATACATATACTTGGTCTCCAACACTTCTACTTTGAATTCATTGTGTCAATACTTACAGGCTACTGGCTTTCTTAATCCTAACAAGACTAAGACTCCAAGATAAGAAATTGTAAAATGAAATTAGCAACCCATAAAATACCATGAAATCCTTCAAGCAGAGTGTTTTACATTCCGAAACAACTAAACCTTTAGAAAACTCAAAGTAAACCAGTGACTTGCTTAATAATAATTACTGTAGCCTAAAATTTCCTAAGAAGGATAACAAGCAGTCCACCATTGAATTTAAATAACTTTTTGAATGGTTTTTATTATTCGTTTTTTTTCTTCTGTAAATCTGCCTTTCATTATCTTTCAACGAGCTTGTTGCCTGTATCACTATCATGTTACTGATGCTATTTTTGTCATATAATGTTTTCCCACTGTTCTGTGCTACTAATGCCACTAACAATAATTTCTTTAGAACTCAGGTTGATGATGTTGAATATCTGAAGGAAAGGAGAATACACCCAATGAAGGTTGGTTTTCAGTGATAGCTACAGATTTTATTTTTATATTGTAAGGCCAGGACAAACGAAACTATGTGAATGCCATTATATGTTTGGGGGTTGAATTTGATCTCAGCCAATTTGATATTAGGCTGCTTAAATAATCTGAGCTGGAGCTTGGTTTGGTGGCTGACTTTTTAGGGGCTTGAGGCAGCAGTCTTCTAAGCTTTTATGCACGCGTATGAACTAAATCAGATAGACAAGATTAAACAGAAATAGTGAATGAGGATTATGAGCCTTGAGCCTAGTCAAAATATGGTCGGGCAGGATAGAGTTGTTTCTTTGTAATCCAATTGGGCTTGAGAAAATCTAGTTAGGCCAGTATCGGAGCATTGCGTAGAACCAAACCAAGATACCAATGAGCATTTCAGCTCATTTCAGCCCCTATGTCTTATTCAAACTAGATTTATAGCATAAAAATCTTATTTGAAGTATGTGTCTCTGCGTGTGTGTGCACCATCACATCAGGTCATACATCTCTATGCATACACATTGATAAATCCTTGTGCAGTTAAGAAAATGTTTTTTTAATTGCTTCTCTTTATTTTGTGTCAGATCACCTTTTTCTTTTTTTCTTTTTTTCTTTTTTTTTTCTGAATTATCTGAAATGCCTTATTTGGTAAAGCCAATTGCAGTTAGGATAATGATTTTTAATTCTGATTAGTTTGTATTATAGGTGGCAGAAGTGTTGTTGGAAGTGTTTGCTGAAATGATTTTCATCCATGGTTTCCTGCATGGAGATCCACACCCTGGTAACATATTAGTTTGTCCTGAAGGTCAGAATGGCTTTTCATTGGGTATGTGCTGAAAATAACCCCTGTAGGTAATTGTCTCAGTTGAAAGTGCTTGTATTGTTGGGCTTGTGATATGATTTACTGTCCACAATTTGGCCATGCAGTTATTCTAGACCATGGAATATACAAAAAATTGGATGAAGGATTTAGGTTGGATTACTGTCAGCTCTGGAAGGCATTAATTCTTCTGGACTCAAAAAACTTGCAGCGTTTGGGTGAACGGTTTGGTGTTGCGAAGTATTCTAGATACTTTCCTGTCATTTTTACGGGAAGAACTATTGACAGGTGATTGATTGCTTTTTAATTTTCTACTTTTTGTCAGTGACTAGCCAGTTCTGCTCCCTAGAAATATAAATTGCACTCACCGTTTTAGGTTTACCTTGATACTTGCCCTTTCCACCTATTCATCCTTGCATGTAGGGACCTTGAGCTTAAATGATTAATATGTCTATATGTGAAAGAAAATTATTGGAAGTACATTGTGTATTTGGGTGTGGGTGTGAGAGCATCATCTTCCTCATTTGCAGAAGGCCACACAAAGGATTTTCACAGGAAAATAAAAAAGAGAAGAAGGATATGAAAGAAAGAGGAAACACGGGAGAGAGGAGAGAGAGGAATAAATTAGAAAAGTTATTAACTATTGGTATTCCCAGTGCACATTAATTAAAGAAATAAAAAACCAATTTATCATTAATCTCAGCCGTTCAAAGTGCCTCAATCTAATTGCTTAGAATGTGTGTCAAAATGTGGGTAAAAAATTGTGTCGCCCGATCCTGACCCTATATATACAAGGCCCTTCATAAAGGGGATCCCGTTCCACTGTAGATGGAGTGGGATCTATAGCGACAACCATATCGACCCAATATTAACTATCAATATGCTGTCCATATTATTGATACTATCAACTGGCGGAGAGTTTTCATGAATGTTTTGCTAGTTTTTATCCGTTTTGGTGACAGGGTTACATAGTTAGGGTACCACCCAAAACTCGAGAGTTAAACCTAAAATATAAAAAATTAATGTTGCCGTGGAACTGGCAGAAAAAAAATTTGCACCAGCCGGGCGACTGCCTGCCACACGGGCCTGCGTCCGTTCCTTAATGAACTTTCGTTTAAGAGAAAAACTCTCTATGTATACAGTATATGTATACAATCTCTCTCTCTCATTCACTGGTGCATGCATTTGTATGTATGATTGTGTCTGTTGCATGTGAGTATGTTTTAGAAGTGACAAAGATAGTGGCTCAAAGAGATATACTTATACTAGATGCACCTGTTTCATGTGTTAATCCTCATAGATGATATTCACTTTGATGTGAGGCTAGTTTTAGTACTAAGGATCTATCCCAAGAAGGATTTCCACTTGATACTGAATCTATATCTTCTTTTCGTTTTTATATAATTAATATATCCTGCAATAAAGCATTTGTGATCATGTTAACAAAGTACAATGGTGAGTTAATTGCATTTTTACCATGTGTTGCAGTAAATCGGCACTTGGGAAGGCAATGTCAGTTGAAGAAAGACGTAATCTAAAGCAGGAGCTGAAGTCCCTGAAGATGGAAGACATATCTTCATTTATGGAATCCTTGCCATCAGACTTTCTCACAATATTGCGTACTGAGTAAGTAAAAGAATGAAATCTCTCTACGTATATGCCTCTTGATATTCTTAACATTCTTTATTCCTGTAACTTTATCTCCATATCCAGTGAACTACTGGGTTCTATCGTTAGCAAGTTGAGATTGTTCAAATCTCTAATTGCTGTATTTTTATCTCCGTATTCAGTGGGCTGCTGAGGTCTATTGTTAGCAAGTTGGGGGCTCCACAAAGAGTCAGGTTGCTAGCCTATGGCAAATATGCATTATATGGTCTTTCTCCAAAGTTGAATCCTGAATCTGGTAAATTTTGACGTATAATACCATTTACATTTGTCCAATTGCATTTCTTTTTTACTTTTTGGGACGGCGCTTTTTAAGTTTAAGCTGGAAACTCATTTGCTGACTCGGAAACAACTTTTTAGTAAGATGGAGAAGGCAAACCTTTTAAAAGAACAACAAATGTTCGAATACAAATACTGAACTCCAACTTGGGAATCTAAAACAACGTGCATCATGTTAATTATTTGTACTGAACATTTAGGACCATTTAGGACTTAATGAAAACCGATACACCACAATTTTAGACCACAATTCTAGAGTTAGTTTTCAACCATATCATCTTCTGTTACATTGTAACTCACCATAATTTATTTCCTTAATTCTGATTATGCTTTCAGATTTTGCTCCGAAAGTTGTGTTCTCCCGATTGAAGGCAAATGCAAGTTACTATAGGTTAAGGCTTATTCTTGGTAAGAATGCATTTGATTGTCGTCTATCTAACAATCTAGTTATAAAAAAAAATCGAAATGACTAAAATGCTGATCAATTTTCAGAGGTTCTACAGCTGCTTTCATGGATGGCAAAGGTCAAGCTTCTTCTGTATACTATGTATGAAAAGATAAGGTTGTGCTATTAGGGGAATTTTGATTGTTTCCTCTTGTTAGTGATTTCTTCTACCTAATGTGAAGTTCTTTTGTGAGGTGTCTTTAATTTTTTTTGGCACTTGTATAGATCAACGTATGTTTAATTTTTTGGTTACATTGGAGTTCGACCCTACGGTTCGAACTGGGGTGCCATGGGAGGAAAGGGGAAGCCGCCACCACTGTGGACACACACAATGCTGTATTTTTGGACATGGAACGGTTGATCTTTCTTTTTCTTTTTGTGTAACATAAAATAAGATACTTTTGGTTATCAGTTGAGAAATCAAATTGAAAATATATAGATATATGGCGTCGATTATCTTATTTTAGCCCTTCAAATAAAAAGATTTCATACCCAGAAACTAAAATATAAATGTTTTAGGTTTCTAAATCAAAATTATAGATGTTTGAAGATCTAATTCAATGTGACCAAAATGATTCGATGGATTTTCTAAAATTCATTATTAAAAAAGAAAAAGAAAAAAAAGGATCCGTCTAGTGTCAGGAACCCGCCTAGTGATTAGGCCTAATAGTAATTGATAATGCTCTAAATTACTTTTATAGATTAACGAAAATTCAGAAAACAAAAAAACAAAAAAAACAAAGGCAATCGCCAAGCCTTGGGCACCGATGTAGTACAAGTCGAAGGTTCTTTGATACTTAAGTTAGCAAGTGCAAGGCACGTAGTAATTTTGGTAAAGTAATGGTAAAAAGTGAAAAGTAGTTATCCTTTTACTTGGGTAATATTCCCCTTTTTATAGAGGAATGAGAGTGAATATTTGTATAAAATTTCGATGTGGAACTTTGTGCAAATCATTGTAGTGCTGTCACGTGTCAGCTTAGGTTTTGCCACCTGGAACTTCGGCAGGCAATTACCATTTCTAGGGAAGATGTTTTCGATAATTAAGATCATGATGATGTCATCGATATTGGGATTCTCTAGAGTGTTGTCCTTTTGGCATGCTGTGGACCTTTCTGCGCACCAGTCCCCAGTGCTGAATGTACTCGGTTGATTATGGCACAAACAAATTTTTTCTTGTTCTTTTTTTGTGGGAATGTTTGCCTTTGATCTACCTCGTTCCCTCAAGTGCTACTAAATTCTTTTATTGCACACATTATTTGTCATAGAGAATTGCATGCTGAGTTGGAGTGTTACTGATAATTGCTTCACTTTTCAAACAACACTTTACATGAAGAATACTACCACCTCTCTTGCTACTATACACGTAAATCTTTATTTGAAATTGTTGTTTTGGTTGGCAAAGAGATTGCAAAATCACCATCTTGCATTTTTGTTACAACAAGTAAGAAGTAATCTTAGCTTCTCACATTCGTTCAGTGAAAAATAATAAAATAAGTACGCGTTTTATTCGTCAAAATTTTGGCAAATTACAACTGAAAAGTTCGTCCACTATATAATATTTTTATTCAATTATAAGTGAAAATTACGTGTATAATAAGTGAATTTTGTGTGTATTATTGAAATTTTTGTAAAAAAACATGTGTATTAAACATGAAAAATACATACATACGTGTACAATACGAGTATTGTACGTTCCTTTTTTAAAAAATGTGTATTTTACCAAGTGTTTAAGACATGTACATCAAACGGATGTATTATTGAACAATACTTACTTATGTGTATAATACGAGTATTAAAGGTGAAAATGCTAAATTCTTTATACGGGTAATAACTCTGGAAAAGTTAAAAATTAAAAGGGGACGTTAGAGACTCGCATAATTCTCTAATAGTAATGGATTATGCTCTAAACTACTATTATCGGAAAACGAAAATCAAGGAAAAAAAAAGATCCTAGTGTATATATATATATATATATAAATTGTATAGACGTCCGACTATACTATTTTAAAACTAAATAAATAAATAAAATGGATATACCCATGCGGCTCTACTATATATATATATATAAATTGTATAGACGTCCGACTATACTATTTTAAAACTAAATAAATAAATAAAATGGATATACCCATGCGGCTCTACTATTTTATAAATAAATAAATAAGCCAAGTATAGCCGCGCAACTATACTATTTTATCATAGAAGTGTAGGTGAGATTGGTCCCGACGTCATCCACATTATGGCCTTGTGGACTCAACTGCCATTCAATGGAACTCGTGGTTGAAAGTAACACTATCATTAGAACTCAACCTACCTACCTCCTCCAATGTACTCTCTAAACCACCCCTTTAAATAAAATTTAGGAAGTGAAAAAACCCACCTCCAACTATGCTCCAACTCCTAAAATAAGGAGACCTCTAGGAGCTCCTAAATTTGAGAAGAGAGAGAGGACTCCTAGTGGCTCCCTATAATTAAATGCTGCTTTACTTTAATGTTATTTTAAGTATTTATTTCATGCCAACTATTTTTTATTATTATCTTATATAAAGAGGGAACATTTATGCTAAACTTAAAAAAGAAATAAATCATTTATGATTCCATATGAAGCATTGTTGGAGTTGAAATTTTATAAAAAGCTCATAAAATAGCTTTCTAGTGTCTTTAGCTAAATTTTAACTAAAAATTAAGGAGCATGATTGTAGATGCTAAGAAACTCTCTATCAAACATAATCTGAAAATGACTAGAGCCTCCCAATAAATATCGTCATAGAAATGTAGGTCACGTTGATCACCGTGCGAGAATAAGAGCATCTCTATCAGAGGATGTAAATGATGACGTGAATAACAATTACACATCCAGACACCTAAAATTAAACTCGAATGCTCCGAAATGTAATGTCAAACCTACATCTCATCAGTGAAACACTAATTTTACATATTTTTTAAAAGAAATTTAAAAAATAACATAAACACTTCTCCCGACGAAATTTCGTCGGCATAGATCTATACCGGCAAATAGTTGTCGGATTAGGTTTCTCCCGACAAAATAACCTATGCCGACGAAATTTTGTCGGGAGAGGTCTAATAGACTTGTCCCGACAAACTTTCGTCGGGAGAGGTCTTTTAAACAAAATTAAATATAAAATTAGGATGTCTAGGTTAATTAATTTTTCAAAATTTTATTTTTAGAAATTAAATAACAGATTTGACTAATTTAATTAGTTAAATTAGTAATTATATTTTCATTATTATTTATTTAATTAGTATTAAATATTTTAATTAATTTCATGAAATATATTACTTAATAAATAGTAATTCAATATTTCTTTTTCTTTTTTTCCTTTAATATTCACTAAGTAAATAATAACTAAAACATAATTACTAATCAAAGTAATTAAAAAGGAGAAATACATATTGTGCTACTTAAAGGGTTCGTAAAATAGTATAGCCGTGCGGCTATACTTTTTTCAAAAAAGTTTATAAAACTGCGTATAGCCGTGCGGCTGTACTATTTTATATATAAAAAAAGAGGACCCCAATCATTAGGCGCCACATGTCAATACAATTCTACCTTTTTCTAAAAATTAAAAACACAGACTATAGCCGGCCGGCTGTACTAATTTATTTATTTATTTTTTTTTAAGGACACTCCAGCGATTGGACGCCACGTGTCACTATATTATTTTTGGAAAAAAAAAATCGTAATATTGCCGCACGGCTATACTATTCTAAAAGGTCTATATATAAATTAAAAAAGGAAAAGAGGACCCTCCAAGTTTCATTAGGTTGTACTTTATAGATATTAATTTGCTAGTTTCAACATATCCAAAGTAGATATTAATAAGTCACTATATAATATTTTAGTATAATTTTTATAACATATATTATTCGTATTTAATAATATGTGAGAATTATTTGTATAATACGAGAACTTTGTGAGAATTACTAACACATTTGTAAAACAATATGTGTATTAAGCATTAGAAATACGTATGTGCATGTACAATACGACTATTGTACGTTTGCTTTTTAAAAAATAGTAGACGTGTACAGAATACGAATGTATTATTAAAAAATACGGACATACATATGTGTATATATATATAAGACTATATTTTAAAGACACTAATTTTACATATTTTTTAAAAGAAATTTAAAAAATAACATAAACACTTCTCCCGACGAAATTTCGTCGGCATATGTCTATGCCGGCAAATAGTTGTCGGATTAGGTTTCTCCCGTCAAAATAACCTATGCCGACCAAATTTTGTCGGGAGAGGTCTAATAGACTTGTCCCGACAAAATTTCGTCGGGAGAGGTCTTTTAAACAAAATTAAATATAAAATTAGGATGTCTAGGTTAATTAATTTTTCAAAATTTTATTTTTAGAAATTAAATAACTGATTTGACTGATTTAATTAGTTAAATTAGTAATTATATTTTCATTATTATTTATTTAATTAGTATGAAATATTTTAATTAATTTCATGAATTATATTACTTAATAAATAGTAATTCAATTTTTCTTTTTCTTTTTTTCCTTTAATATTCACTAAGTAAATAATAACTAAAACATAATTACTAATCAAAGTAATTAAAAAGGAGAAATACATATTATGCTACTTAAAGGGTTCGTAAAATAGTATAGCCCATTTTTCAAAAAAATTTATAAAACTGCGTATAGCCGTGCGGCTGTACTATTTTATATATAAAAAAAAAGAGGACCCCAATCATTAGGCGCCACGTGTCAATACAATTCTACTACTTTTTCTAAAAATTAAAAACACAGAGTATAGCCGGCCGGCTGTACTAATTTAATTTATTTTATTTTTTAAAGGACCCTCCAACGATTGGACGCCACGTGTCACTATATTATTTTTAGAAAAAAAAAATCGTAATATTGCCGCACGGCTATACTATTCTAAAAGGTCTATATATAAATTAAAAAAGGAAAAGAGGACCCTCCAAGTTTCATTAGCTTGTACTTTATAGATATTAATTTGCTAGTTTCAACATATCCAAAGTAGATATTAATAAGTCACTATATAATATTTTAGTATAATTTTTATAACATATATTATTCGTATTTAAGAATATGTGAGAATTATTTGTATAATACGTGAACTTTGTGAGAATTACTAAAATATTTGTAAAAAAATATGTGTATTAAGCATTAGAAATACGTATGTGCATGTACAATACGACTATTGTACGTGTGCTTTTTAAAAAATAGTAGACGTGTATAGAAAGACTACATTTTAAAGACACTAATTTTACATATTTTTTAAAAGAAATTTAAAAAATAACATAAACACTTCTCCCGACGAAATTTCGTCAGCATAGGTCTATGCCGGCAAATAGTTGTCGGATTAGGTTTCTCCCGTCAAAATAACCTATGCCGACCAAATTTTGTCGGGAGAGGTCTAATAGACTTGTCCCGACAAAAGTTCGTCGGGAGAGGTCTTTTAAACAAAATTAAATATAAAATTAGGATGTCTAGGTTAATTAATTTTTCAAAATTTTATTTTTAGAAATTAAATAACAGATTTGACTGATTTAATTAGTTAAATTAGTAATTATATTTTCATTATTATTTATTTAAGTAGTATTAAATATTTTAATTAATTTCATGAATTATATTACTTAATAAATAGTAATTCAATTTTTCTTTTTCTTTTTTTCCTTTAATATTCACTAAGTAAATAATAACTAAAACATAAGTAATAATCAAAGTAATTAAGAAAGAGAAATACATATTATGCTACTTAAAGGGTTCGTAAAATAGTATAGCCGCGCGGCTGTACTTTTTTAAAAAATTTTATAAAACTGAGTATAGCCGTGCGGCTGTACTATTTTATATGTATAAAAAAAGAGGACCCCAATCATTAGGCGCCACGTGTCAATACAATTCTACCTTTTTCTAAAAATTAAAAACACAGACTATAGCCGGCCGACTGTACTAATTTATTTATTTATTTATTTTAAAGGACCCTCCAGCGATTGGACGCCACGTGTCACTATATTATTTTTGGAAAAAAAAAATCGTAATATTGCCGCACGGCTATACTATTCTAAAAGGTCTATATATACTATTTAATATATAAATTAAAAAAAGAAAAGAGGACCCTCCAAGTTTCATTAGCTTGTACTTTATAGATATTAATTTGCTAGTTTCAACATATCCAAAGTAGATATTAATAAGTCACTATATAATATTTTAGTATAATTTTTATAACATATATTATTCGTATTTAAGAATATGTGAGAATTATTTGTATAATACGTGAACTTTGTGAGAATTACTAACACATTTGTAAAAAAATATGTGTATTAAGCATTAGAAATACGTATGTGCATGTACAATACGACTATTGTACGTGTGCTTTTTAAAAAATAGTAGACGTGTATAGAATAGACATACATATGTATATATATTCTCTTATCCGGATGTCCGCACGTTATTATCGTGCGGATCCTATTGTAAACAGGCAGGAAAACAGAGAAGGGTAGTACAAAATACACTGCGTCCGCACGATAATAACGTCCGGATGTCCGCATAGTGTATTAAGCATTAGAAATACGTATGTGCATGTACAATACGACTATTGTACGTTTGCTTTTTAAAAAATAGTAGATGTGTATAGAATACGAATGTATTATTGAAAAATACGGACATACATATGTATATACATAAGACTATATTTTAAAGACACTAATTTTACATATTTTTTAAAAGAAATTTAAAAAATAACATAAACACCTCTCCCGACAAAATTTCGCCGGCATAGGTCTATGCCGGCAAATAGTTGTCGGATTAGGTTTCTCCCGTCAAAATAACCTATGCCGACCAAATTTTGTCGGGAGAGGTCTAATAGACTTGTCCCGACAAAAGTTCGTCGGGAGAGGTCTTTTAAACAAAATTAAATATAAAATTAGGATGTCTAGGTTAATTAATTTTTCAAAATTTTATTTTTAGAAATTAAATAACAGATCTTATACCTAATGTCTACGGTGGTAGCCGTAGGGCATGGAGATCGACAGGCTTAACCATTCGATGTCCTTTTCTGGATATGGATTTACCAATGACTGTTCAAATCTGTTTACCAGGAAATCAGACTCACAACCTCTGTTGGTTTTAGTAATTCCGAGTCTAAAATTTGGTTATTCAAAATTTGGGTTTTAACAAAGCCCGTAGCAGGCAATTTTTGCAGCAGGAAACTAAAAATTTCAATTGGAATCGCATAGCTTTCCTATCTCTGCTGCAATGGGAATCGAAATCTGACTAATGAAAAATATCAGAAATGTATTGCATGGTTCTAAATTTCAAATGAACTTCAGACCATAAGTCTGTTCTTGAAATAGCCAAGAAAATATCAGAACAATTACACACTTGGGCTACAAACCACAGAGGTGTGATTTTCAAATGTCATTTTCACAAACAGAGCTTCTAAAACTTGATTTCTTGCTGGAAATCACGATAATTGGCTTAGCGATGAAAAAGGTCAAACTTGCTTACGGAAGCAAACTGATGAAGAAAGAACATTCAAATCAGTAAGAGTCGAGCAATCAAATTGTGCACAAGAAACTAATACACTAAAAACAGATAGAGTCAACATCTCTAACCACCAGAGGGAAAAGATTCCGCCTTCCATTATTTCTTTCGAGAGTACAAAAGGACAAGTCCACAGTTGTCTAGCCCTGAAACAAAACCCAGCACTCATTAACTTAAAAAGAAATGCATAAATGCAAGTATCAAATGAGAAAGATATTTCTAAAAATGAAGAAAAGAAGGAGAGGGTAAGACAGTTTCTACAGAAGACATGAAAATCACAAGGAAATAAGAGCAGCTAACAATATCCAAATGGCAATTCATATTTCACATCAAATTCAGACCATGTGTATTAAAAGTTTCCACCTAGACAGGTTTTAGCTAACACTATTTTACATAAGCATAAGATAAATTTTCTAAACAGCAGAAAAAATAAAGCATAAAACGGCAAGGAAGTAACATCCAATGCATAGAGTCAAGTCTGCAAACCCCTCACGTACAACTATTCTTTCAAGAAAGCCTTGCTCTGAGTTCCTCTGCCACAGCATCAATGAACTCTTCTGTATTCAAATAGTGGTTCCTAGCAAGCCTGCAGCATACATAAGCATGTTATAAATGAAATCACTGCTCATATAGAGACACAAAAAAACATAACCCACACACCAGCAGAGACATACATTATGAAGATATAATAATTTTTTTGATACTTACTTAGGTCCATGAATAATGAGTGCAAGATCCTTGGTCATTTTCCCAGATTCCACAGTTCCAATGCAAGCTTCTTCCAGTTTCTGAGTGAAATCCAAAAGCTTCGCATTGTCATCCAACTTTGCCCTGTCAAGAGGACACATTTAATAATTTTAACAATGAACCTTATATCCAAAAGGAGCACTAACTTGGAAAGTAAACTTTATAACATACCTGTGTGCAAGCCCTCTTGTCCAAGCAAAGATAGAAGCTATGCTGTTTGTACTGGTTTCACCTCCTTTCTGGTGAACCCTGTAATGCCGAGTAACTGTACCGTGGGCAGCTTCTGCTTCTATAGTCTTTCCATCTGGGCACACCTGTAACCAAGAAATACCCTAGTAAGTGAAGTACAAGGATTCACATGACAAAAAGAATGTCTTGACAGAGGGCGGGAGAGGGGATGGGGGAGAGAGTATACGCATGAAACAGTTATAACATACCAGTACTGATGTCATCAATCCAAGAGAGCCAAACCCTACAATGGAACCATAAGTTAAAAATTGCATTCCTCTGCATGCGAAATCTTTGATGATAGACAAAACAAAAGTTAGCTGACAGTCTGCTATACAAACCTTGAGCTAAGAAATCACTCTGCACATCTCCATCATAATTCTTGCATGCCCAAACATACCCACCATCACTTTTAAGTGCATAAGCCACCATATCATCAATGAGACGGTGCTCGTACCTTCCAATCGAATAAAATATAGTCAATAACACAATTTAACCCGAAGATCCACAATGTTAAATAAAAATTAAATAAAATCATCAGGCTCTTCAGTCCTTACCATATGCCAGCAGCCTCATACTGTGACTTCCACTTGGCTTCATAAACTTCTTGAAATATGTCCTTGAATCTTATCTCATTAACAAACAAAAATATAGATAGGTCAGAGAATGATAAGTCAAAATGTTAAAGGTTAAATACTTAAAAACAGCGTAATTTAGAATCTGCATACCTTCCATCATACTTCTTAAGAATAGTGTTCTTTGTGCTAAGATAAAGAGGCCACTTTTTCTCATAAGCAGTGGTCATGGAAGCCTCTGCAAAAGCACGGATGGACTGCATGCCGAAGAAACACAAACAACAAAAGGAACAAACAGAGTGACTCACAGATATCAAGAGATTCTTTCAACGGAAACACGAAAGGATTAGCAAACCAAACCTCATCGGTGTTGTACATGGCCAATGCTACTCCCCCCTCACCTGTGAAGTTGTACACCTCTAGTTCTGTTTTCTCATCCTTTCCTTCTGGCACTGCAAGCATTTATCAAGTAATAAGACAAGAAACTAAAGGAATGTAAAAACTTTTTTTATTTTATTTTTATCAAGACATACTTTGAATAGATAATCCTAACTAGATTAAATTTGATGTATACAAATCTCCTAGTCTCAAGTAAAGATATATACCAAACACCAATTTCAGTTTCCCAGGTCCTTTAATGACAGCATCAGTTGCTCGATACTGATCACCGAAAGCATGTCTTCCAATGCATATTGGCTTTGTCCAGCCTGGAAACAGCAACAATCAACATGGTTCTGCTCCAACAAAAATATAGAGCCACAATATGAAATTATCATACCTGGGATAAGGCGAGGGATATTTTTGCAAAGAATTGGTTCTCTGAAAACAGTACCTGTAGAAAAGCCAGCAGCCATTGTAATTTAGCCAGAAAATTGTTCAAAAGATGAAAATGGATAGTTGCCAGTTCACTAACCATTCAAAATATTCCTAATAGTGCCATTGGGACTCCTCCACATACTCTTCAAGTTAAACTCCTTAACACGACCTTCATCTGTTAATTACAACCACAATAATATGGAATTCGTCCATTTCTCAGTGCTGACTGAAAATATTAACATGGCAACAAAAGTGTTGAATTCTTCAGTAGTGTATACCTGGAGTGATAGTTGCACATTTGATTGCTACATTGTACCTAAAATACCAAGTGTTAGAGATGCAAAATTAATACCATAATAATACGTGAAAATAAAAAACATACTTTAGGCTCTCTTTTTTCTTCTTTTTTTCCCACTGGTACACAAACATATGATGTGAATTGAATGCACTCGGGAACTGAATTCTCTCACCCTCCACCCTGTCTTTATAAGGTGCAGGAAGGAGGTTCCATAAGGCCAAAAGGGTGGCATAAACCAACTTTCGGTACTGCCTAATCACCATCCTAACTCACTAATCACTAACCCACACTACATTAGAGATAGAAATGTTGACTTCAGAGATAAATATTCATTTGTAGAACTTTAAGTAGAGATGAAATAAAACGTACTTAAGAGTAGCCTCTGCACTTTCAACAGTAACTTTATCATCAGTGTCATCGCGATGAGGAAGACCAAGGTCAAAGTACTTGATGTCCAATTCCAAAAAGGGTAAAATAAGCTGCAGATACAAGTAATAAGCATATAAGCAACCAACATCTTGATCAGAAAAAGTATATATTGAGAAAAACTAGTATTGATGGAGCCCTTAAGAGTATGATGTAGTCACCTTATCCTTTATGGATTTCCAGAAAATTCGAGTCATTTCATCTCCTGTACCAAAAGACATATTGTATGAGAAAGGGGAAGGCGAAATATCATCAACCCATGTACACATGGTATGTGATTTGTAACATATTATCTTCATAAAATTTTGAATGAATAACCAACATTGACATATTTTAGGACATTGGGAAAATAAATATGAGACGCAACCAATCTAGTGTTATGCACATGTTATCAATAAATTAGGAATATTCAACACATAAATTCAGGAAAACACTTTAATCGCATTTCATTTCATTCATTCAAGTTCAACAACAGTTTTAGAGGCTCAAACAAAGGCTCCGCATAGGGAAAGATAGAGATTCACTAGTCCCCGGAAATTCCAATTACAATGTCGTTTTATTTATAAAATCCACAAGATCAAAACTTCATCAAACAAATCCTCTCTAAATAGATCTAATTATTTTGTACAGATCTTCAATAACAAGTTAAAGGGTAGTCATCATGATCTCAGATAGCCGAATTAGTAGTTTTACAATTATCTTTTTGGGGGAAAAGATTCAGGTACTGTAAAAGATCATTACAGGTTTAGGGGTTTTCTTTTAATAAACTTTTTACTGAATAAATCATGGTAAAAAGGAAGATGAAAAATAAAAGCCACCACCTTTTCAGAGGACAAAAGCAAACAAACATTTTGGAGGCGGCAAAAATGAAGCTTAGCAATCATCGAACAGAACTATGAGATTGCTCATAGAAGACTAACGAATCAGAAGCAATCAGTACAGTTAGATGGGCAGATAGGCACGGAAATGGATCGGTAAAATGATCAATTAGTGCAGATAGGCCATGGAAACAATCGGATCGTAGCAAATAGATGAAAATCTCACCGTCCATCTCCACGATGGGGTTGGCCACCTTGATCTTCTGGAAAGCCATTGTTTTCTCCTTGGGACGATGGGTTGGATAGGTAGATAGGAGGGTAGATAGGAATGGAATGGAATGGGATCTGCGACTGTTTTTAAAGGCAGAGAGTGGCTGAGTGGTTTTGAGTCTCTTTGACTGTGAGAGGCACACACTTCACAAAGAACACGGCACTCTCCCACCACAATCGATATGCTCTTTTATTTATTTATAAAACTTAGGAAATGCTCCTGTCCGATCCACCTACCAGCTTTTCGCATACTCAACAATTTAATTGGAAAATTTTAAATTTGATAACAATGCTAAATGAATGTATTTCAAATAACTCGATGGAGAACATATATAATCGATTTGTTTTCTTTTTCTTTTTTCTTATTTAAATCTTCGCTTAGATGGATTGTAATAGTCTATGCGAACAATTTTAGTTTATACTATCATTTTATAATGTTATTTATATCCATAGATTTGGACCCCTTTATTTGCATGAAGTTTAAGTTTTGTTTGAAGTACAAAATCCGAATCACATGGACATTAATTGTTAAATAAAATGAGATTGTTCAAAACTATAATTTGAGTAATGGTATGTGACACAAGAGAGTATGAGATAAGTAATCTTTGAATATTTAACTATAACATATATGAGAATTTTTATTGACATTCCTTATGACTTTACCTCGGCTTTGTTGAATGTTACTAATCATACTTCCCATCCTAGTGATCAAACTAATCTTATAAGTGTTGGAAATTGGCTCAAATGTAGAAGAATTTTGGAATTACCCATGTGAGTCAAAGTTAGTTGCCCATGTGAGTAAATGTTGGCTTACTATGAGGTCAAAAGGGGTGGATTGTTTGGTAGCCATCCATTGGTAAGTTTGGTAGCCAACAAATGAATAGTTGAAGCTTGCATTCACACTCTTGCATCTTTGGCTATAAATTGGAAGCAAATGGTTCCATTTGAAGTATCCCACCAAGTGTTGAGTAGAAGAGGAAAATAGCAAAGAAGGCATCTTGCCAAAGAGAGAAACATTTCTCTCTAGTTGTTCTTTGCTTTGTATTATTGTTTTCTCTTCAATTGTTGTGAGAGTGAGACTTGGGTGTATTTGGGGCTTTGGGTTTTCTTGAGTGATAAACACTTTGTATACTCTCTTTGAATATAGTGAATTACTCCGTCGTCTCCAAACTGGATGTAGGCATTGCCGAACCAGTATAAATCTTGGTGTTCTTGTTGGTGTTGTTTTGTGTTCCATTTATCTCCTGCTAGTTGTTGTTTATTCCTTTAAGACTTAATTCAAGTGAACCAAGTTTCTATATTCGTTATGTAAGTTTCTCTCAATTTCTTGACGCTTTAATTTGAGGAATTTTTTGGAGTTTATGAAGTATCAATTACAATTTTTTTGGAGTCACACATTTTTATTTTGAAGATATAGAAAAGTTATTATTTGATTATTTTTAACTTTAAGCCACTATTTCAAAGGAGGAATTTATTTCCCACCCCATTTGGGGCCAAGAAATAAATAGGATTTTTTGTCAGGTTTTTTTTTTACTAAAATGTAATGTGGGGCTTTTGACTAATTTTCGCCTAAAAAGAAAGAAAGAAAAGGAAATAGGTTCTGGGTATTCTCACGGTCACATTGCTAGCCTTTTCCCCATCTCTTCATATTTCTCTCTCACTATTCGTTCGTTTGGGCGCTGCTGCATCTATAATTTCATTTTTTATAGAGTTTTAGTAATGGGTTTAGTGTTCAGAAGCAACAGCGGAAGCATGAGATACTTTTCGACCCACTCAAACTCACACTCTCACTCGCAGTGCTTACCTTCTCCTCTGTTATTCCAGTCTTCTCTCCCACTGCGCTTCAACGTACACTCAATGGCGGTGAAGCCCATCAAAAGAGTTCGTTGTGAGCTCCAAGCCAAAGTCAATGGTGCTCTTTCTGCTGACTCCGACCCCCTCTTCATTGACCGAGTATGTTTTCAAAACCCCTTTGCGCCTTTTTACCTCAATGTTCTTTTTGTTTCCCAGAAGCAGAAAAATGCTGTTGAAGAGGCACACAAGCACAAAAAAACTATAACTTGCACTGTTGGTTTATGACAAGCACTAGAAAATGTGAGCTAAAAGTTGATAAATTCTGATGTTATGGTTTTTTCTTTCAGCAAAAAGCACTGGAAGCAGCAATGAATGATATAAATAGTTCATTTGGAAAGGGTAGTGTTACAAGATTAGGTAGTGCTGGTGGAGCTTTGGTGTATGTCCTTCTATCCTTGTCATATCATTGTTTGTGTTCACTCCCTTTGGCCTTTTTTCAATTTTAAGCAGCATGATGGAGCATAAGACCAGCTGCTTGTATGATTTAGGATGGAAAGTAGATTATTTGAGACTTTATTTATTGCAGTGAAACTTTTCCCAGTGGCTGCTTGACATTAGACCTTGCCTTAGGTGGTGGCCTTCCAAAAGGGAGAATTGTAGAGGTATGTTTCCATTGTATGTTTTCATGCTTCATCGTTGTATCTATCATTCTCTTTTTCTTTTTGCTTGTTAAGTTACGCATGCATCTGTTGGGGATTGGAATTTGGACCCAAGAACTCACTTTCCCTTCACCCTGTTCTGAATGCGGAGAGGTTTTGTAAGGCCCAAAGGCCAATTTCTGTTTCTCATTTGATTTGATTTGATTTGATTTGATTGTTTTCCTTAACACTTCTCATGATCAAAGATGCATTGTTTAATTGGAAAAAATTAATTTTTTAGTGGTAATATATATATCCGGTAATGTTCCTCGCAAATGGTATCCTGCTACAGTTACTTGATCCAAGAAAATGGCATCAAATACCATATGTATGCAGAGCAAGGAGATCTGGAAAGTTGGAATCCTGTGGAAGGTTCCACAAAAATAAAGATGAAAAATAATAGAAAAGGATGTAGGTAGTTTCCTGTACAAAACAATGATCTATCATTGTATTTATTTTCAGATATTTGGACCAGAAAGTAGTGGAAAGACCACTCTAGCACTCCATGCAATTGCAGAGGTGCAGGTATAGTTGTTTCAACTGTCATCTGAAATCTTTAGCTTCCGTTTACTGACCAATGGCTTTTCAATGGTAATATGCAGAAGCTTGGAGGAAATGCTATGCTTGTTGATGCAGAACATGCTTTTGATCCAGCATATTCAAAAGCGCTGGGGGTAGATGTAGAAAATCTGATTGTCTGCCAGCCTGATCATGGCGAAATGGCACTTGAGAGTAATATATCTTTCTTGTTTGTATCATCGTGGGAACTTTTTCTGACAAATGTGTGTTTGTGGGATCGATGCAATCATTCTGGAAGTATTCAGAATGGCAGTAGCGTGATGCTTAAGAAATAAATTTAGTGTATGCATGATGTATTGATTGGTTTTCTGTCATCTCAGTTGCAGATCGTATGTGCAGATCTGGTGCCATCGATCTTATCTGTGTTGATTCTGTCTCGGCTCTCACTCCACGAGCAGAGATTGAAGTAACCTTTTATTTTTATTTTATTTATTCCTTGGTAATTTTAAACTTAAGATATGCAATTGCTCATATCTGATCTTGCTACGTACAGGGTGAGATTGGTATGCAGCAAATGGGTTTGCAAGCACGCCTTATGAGCCAAGCTTTGCGCAAAATGTCAGGAAATGCGTCTAAAGCTGGATGTACTCTAATATTTTTAAATCAAATAAGATATAAGGTAATTTCAATTAATTCTGTTCATACATATCAAATAAGATATGGATGGTATGTAAAACAATTGAGATTGAGTGCCTATGTCTTAGCAGCTGATTTTGAGCCTTTAAGCTTTCAGATATTTATGATGACCCATACTTGGGTCCGTTGCAATAATTGAGTGCCTAGGTATAAGCAGCTGAATTTGAGTAATTAATTTTTCAGATTTATATGATTTCGATTCTTCCTTCAGGCTTTTTTATTAGTTATTTTCCCCTAATCACAGTTGTTTCACTTCCAGAAACTAATGGCATCGTTCATTCATTTTGCAAGATTGGTGTATACTATGGTAATCCAGAAGTGACATCTGGAGGAATTGCATTAAAATTCTTTGCCTCAGTTCGGCTTGAAATACGTTCTACAGGGAAGATAAAGTCTGTAAGAACAATAGCCATTGTTTCTTATTGCATGACAGCTATTTGATGGATGAGTATATTTATCTGTGTAGGTAACCGAATAGAGTTTGATCTATATTGTTTGCTCATACAACGTACTTCTGTACTGATTAGGTAAAGGGAGATGAAGAAATTGGGGTTCGGGTTCGTGTAAGAGTGCAAAAGAGTAAGGTAATTTTGAGTGCTTCAAAATGGTTTCTGCATCTGAGGGTTGTACACCATGTACAGAAAGAACATTTTTATTACTTTTGCCCTTATGATTACTTAAGTAGTAATTGCACTTTCAGTATAAATTTCATAACTGGTATAAAGTATGACAAGTTGTCTTGCCATTTCTTAAAGGTTTATGTCTAATTTCTCAAAGTTTTTTGTCCCAAATCTACACTGTGCTAGAAGTGCAGCCTGTGACCATGAAAACTGTTGTAACAATCGACAAATTGTTAAATTCCCTTTTTTATTTTTCTGATATTATGAAACTGCTTCCATCCTTTTTGTGGGCTAAATGATTTTGTTATGATATTTGATTATGCTTTTGGAGGAGAGACTTTTGTTGACTACAATCTCCTGATTCCCAGATTTTGCCAAACCTTTAGTAAAAATTAATGATTGCAGTTTATTATATCTTTTATTTAATTTGTTTCATCGACTTTGTTATGTTTCTAGTTAAAATAGCTCATGTTTTGAAAGATGCTTATCATACGTAGTTGATGTAGGTATCAAGGCCATACAAACAAGCTGAATTTGAAATTGTTTTTGGAGAGGGAGTTGGTAAATTGGTCAGTATCGCAACAAATTTAGTTTTCCCCACTCATAAGGTGGAAACCACACTCTGTTTTGACTTTCTTTCTTTCAGGGTTGCATTTTGGATTGTGCTGAAACTATGGATGTAGTAGTGAAGAAGGGCTCTTGGTATAGCTACGGGGACCACAGGTTTTTACTTGAACTTATATTCTCGGCTTTTAGTTATATTCCTTGTTATCTGCTACGAAGTGTCCTTAAAGACTATGCAGTAGGATACTGGGTTTAGGATATTGCTTTTAGTTCTATTTTTAGTTGTTGAGTCTTGTTATGATATTGGGTTATCCATAACTGTTTAAGATAATTACTCAGTCAAATAGGAGTCTCATTCAAAATTCTATTCATGTGCACTGTAATCCACATTGTTCACAGAATCAGACCAGCCCAGTTTGCTTACTTTTCTCAATTCTTTGCGACCCCAAGTAAACCCCCTTCTTCCTCAATTGAAATCCTAAAAATCTAAATATGTCCAACCTGTTCAAGGGCATACGACCATGTGCAGTGGCATTTTCTTGAGTTCCTGTCGGTGTGGAAAGGTTTCAGGTGCACATGAAGGAAATGGATTAGGGGTTGTTTGAAACTTGGATAATTTTTTTGAATTGATTAATGGGATGCAAAGGGGTAAGTTTGGCGCATTAAGTGGTTTGAGACAAGGAGATGCACTCTCACCTTTATTCACGCTAATTGTGGATATACTAAGTAGAATTGTCAGTTATAAGGGAATGTGTGGAGATTGCTCGTTAAGGAGACCACTTTGTCAGGTCTGAAATCAATATAGCCAGGCACCTTCTGAATTCACATGAAAGTATGGGGTGCTTTTTAGCCAGGCTCCTGACAGTTTTAAAACGTTTAAACCTTCCCAACCCTGAACTGAACTTCCTCCCACCACAACGTAGAAGTATTGCTAAAAGATCTATGGTGCAACCACATGTTCTCAAATCTAAACGGTACTGGATCCTACCTAAATGGGACTCATGTGCAATGCAATTGGGAAATGGTTTGACACAACTCTAGGCTGCCTGTCTAGCTTTTGGGTGGCTCTGCTCCCAATGTGGTTAGACAAGAAATCCATTCAATCTTGATCTCACCAATCTATCCTTAACATTAGACCAAGTGAACTGAGCATTGTGTAATCTAGTATGTTCTGTTTTCTTTAAAAAATCCTTCAAAACCTTTCATGCTTCTAGTCACTCTTCCCACAAATTATTCCTCTCACAAAATCGGACACAGACAGATCATACAGCCCCATAAACCACCACTCTCACTCACTTAAAACTTAATACGTACTACCAACAAACTAAGTAGAGGCCCAAAATAATATCTAACGCAAATACTGATGTCACATCCCATGTTACTATAACCCCTCTCGACCTGCCACATGATGGAAAAGGACCCAGGCTTTGAACCTCCGCCGCCACACTTCCTATCAGTCTTCTATATTTAAATTTTTTTTTTTCGGTTTCTTGTTTGACAACAAGGTGCATGTCCCAGAGTCTACAACTCTTTGTTGAGCCTCCTTTTACTTCTAGACCCTAGATCTCCTACGCTATAGCTTATAATTTCCTTTAAGCTCTAGCAACCCGGCCCTGACTCTTTGTGCCCCTTATCAGCATCAAAATGGAACCATTGGTAAATTCAATTCACTTGTAATACTTTCTAGCATAGCTCAATTCTCTTTATTTAACCCAAACTGACCACCACCCTCAACTGCCCTGACCCTTAACATGTACACCTCAACTATTTGTGAGATCACAAAGACACTATTGGTGTCAATCACTGGAAAATTTTCCGGAATGCTACTGTCTCTTGGTAAAAGTCCCAGCTCCACAGAGCAGTAGATGATTCTATCAGCCCCTTTTTCTACAATCAGACTGATGCTCAGCGGAAGGAGCAAAGGTTTATTAAACCTCAAATTTGTTTTCTTCTATACAGGCACACAAACTCCTATCTCTTCCTCATCTGAACCATATTTGAAGACTTGTTAAGTTTGGAGCAGTGTCTTAATTCCCAGAAAGTGGCCAGGGAAAGCACATGCATGATTCATTCTCCTATGAGACAAAATAAAAGTAATGAAATCCATGATGGCTACTGCATACCTCCTTTTAATTTCTTAACAATGAAGTCCTTTGCTTTTGGAAAAATCAACCATTTCCCAGCTTGAATCTTGTTGAATCTATATACACATGCAGTCCCATATACCCTGATGTTCTAAAAACAAATTGCCCAAGTCAAAAACAGATTTCACTACATTTGAAAGTCTTTTGAGCTCACTGAGTTCCCTGTCATCAGAGATAGTATCCAGAATTCAATCCTTTTTAACATTATTTAACCTACCAGTAAAGCATTTTATTATTTTCTTGTGCACAAGAATAGGCAGAAGGTGTAGCCTTCTTTGGTTTCTGTATTTTCACTAAAAAAATGACAGGATGTTTTATAAAATCCCTTAAATTTTAGATATAGCTACTAGGTGAGATGAAAGGAGGAGATTTACCTCCTACTCTGTGCTAAGATTCTCATTCATAAAACAGAGAATGTGATTAGACTTCAAGCTTTAATTCCCGTAACTACTCTTTTGTTCATGTAAGGACCTTGTTTATTTGTTTTAGAATAACTCAAGAATCCTCTTGTGTAACTGTTCCTCCCTAATGACTGACATTTGTTTGTGATTAAAAAAGGTTAGGACAAGGAAGAGATAAAGCATTGCAGTACTTGAGAGAGAACCCTCTTCTTCTTGATGAAATAGAGAAGGTGATCTTTCTGATTTCTCATGATGCAATTAGTTTTCCTTTTCTCCTTAATTAATACATTGTTTAATTTTATGTATTTCTAGTGGTTAAAACAATCTCACAATGTTTGAATTCTATATTGCTTCACTTTCAATCAATATGTGCAAGGAATCAAATGAAACTGCAGTTCATCATCCTTTACATTGCTCAATGTCTTGGAAGTTGTGGGTTTTTATGTTTTCTTTTTTGGGGGGTTTTTTAGTGTGGGAAAAGAAGCTTTTAGAAAGGGAGAAAAAGATCATTGTTTTGCAAATTCAAGTCGCCCCTTTGTTAGCTTAACTTGGCCGTTTATAACTTATAGAGATCATTTATTCAATGGGCATTTGTTAGCTTAGAATAGGGCCCATTTGATAGAACTGATTATTAGACTGTAAATCCCCGAGTAACAAACTGTCATAACTGGGGATAAAAAAAACTTGAACAAATTTAAAAAGAAAACGAAGGGGATGTTTTCTTTTGGATTTGAACAGTGTGGCATCCTGCATGCGGGGTTCCTGCACCCAGAGCTCTTCGTTTGTGTATATATATAAGTATGCATATCTATTATTATGTAAAACAAAATTGCATAAGAAACCCTCAACATGTTATTGGAGCATGTTTTGTTTTTGTTACAATTGTAAACTTTGCTTCTATCATGAATCAATTATTTGGGATTCAAATGTTGGATGGTCAAATTTTAAAAGTTGGAAGCATGATGTAGAAAGAGTGCTTAGGTACGACCTTTAGGAAATCTTAATCTCCTAAGCTGATGAAGTCTTACAGTAGATGAGTAAACTGGATATGAGTAATGAGAAGGTTTGATTGGAGGAGTCTTATGGCCATGATGTTTTCTATTCCAGATAATGTGGAGGATGGTGTCATAAAATCAATAGTGCTATGGAGTTTTTAAAGGCTCTTGCGGGAAAAAAAAATGCCTTTGCATAAAACTGAAAAACACATACTTTGGGGGATTCACTGATTGATATTGAGGTGAATTGGACACCTTGTCAAAGTATGCACTCATTTGTATGGGGATGGACAGCGTCGGTGGTGTCTAGAGAGAAAATGGGGTCTTATAGAGTATACAGAGAAGTAGACAAGGATGTGAAGATTGAGTAGAAAGTTTTTGTATTGCAAGTCTATCAAAACCAAGAGGAACAGCTACCAGAATTACCAAAAGGAACAAACTGCAGAGTTACTTCAAGAAGGTTGACCTTTGTCCTGCCTATTGATTGAGAGATGGCTGGGGCAGGGAATAAACTTAAGCAGAACTAGTTCTTCAGAAAGCATTGCGCCACTGACTCAGTTTTCTGGTTTGGACTATATTTGAACAAGAGGGGTATTTTCTGAATGTGGTAAAAATACAGGGTGTGTGCTGGGAAGCAACATCATAATTCCAGCAGGTCAGGTTTTGGATGGCAAAATATTTGCAGAGTTCCTAGAGAGAGAATCTTTAGTGGAGATATGACTAATCCAAGAGCTCAGAATGCTTCATTCAGAGACCAGTTGGATAGAGGTGGTGCTAGAGAGATTATAGGTAAAGAACAAGGGAAAAAGGTTCATCGGTGGAAACTCTTCCGCAGGAAATTTTGCAAGGGTTGCAAGTGCAAATTACTAACCATGAATATGCGGGGCAGGAAAAGTGTGGAACTGTGTAGGGACGAAAGCATGTTCTTGACTCGTGAATGTAGATTTAATAATCCATTATTAAGATGCTTGTAAAACCAATTCAACTTTATCCTTTCCAAAACAACAGATCGCTGTTGTGTTTTTCTCCTTCTTTTGTAAAAGTGAGTAGGATGCTTCAAAGATAGGAGATAACATAAGGTGATGTATCCAGATGTCTTTTACAGTTTCCTATTATAATGGATCAAAACATTCAACAATGATTGTGATCTATGTAGTTGGTACTTAGAAACTGATTTCATAACAAAAATGTTGTTAACTTGTTCGAAGTAAGATTTAGAGTGATGGAGAATCAAATAGGTTTGTTTATAAATGTAGCAGTCAAAGAGGGGTAAATTGTAGTCAGAGACTGTTGTCAGCAACAAGGAGGCCTATGTCTGGAGGAAGTAGGAAGAACCAAAGGATGGGTAGCACAAAATTCCATCCATTCAGCCTGAGCCCGAAGATGATAGTCATGATAGGGTTGGATTAATGTGGACATGCTAGTGGAGGCAAGCGATTAAACAGTGAGTCTGTAATCAACTCCAACGCACTGTAAGTTTAAGAGGTAAGAGTTGAAGAGGAAGGTTTAGTTGTTCTAGATCCCGAGGTTTAGATGGGTATCAAGAATGAAAATTAGAGTCAGATGTAAATATCAAAAGCGGCCTTGGAAAGTGAAAGAGGGTAGAGATTGGTAGGGGATTGGGCCATTTACTACGAACCCAGACTGAGTATGCATGAAATACAGCCTGGGATGGGGTAATTAGACACAGATTAGTGATATTGGGCTAATTTTAATGGGAAGCTTAGCTCTGAAAAGGAAGGCAGAGAAAGAAATTACTGGAGTATTTTATTTGATCGAGTCATTTCCTAATTCTGCAGTAATTTACTGGTTCTGCATAATTGCACTTGGCTATCCTGAAAATGGGTAGAGACTGGTGCTCTTCATACTGTGAAGTCTGAACACAATATGATAGTCTAGTGCAAGTCCTATCACTAGTCCATCATATTTTGTTGTCAAATGTTCACAATAAACTATATTGAGGAAAAAATTATCCTTTTTGAGGGGCACTATGTGTAAATGTACAAAACCTCAGAGGTCAACATAATTTTACTTACAACTATAATCTGATGAAAAGTTTCATTATGTCTTCTTGTGTGTGCTTTCCACAATTTTTTCTCATTCTTTGAAGGTAGGATATGAACTGGAATGTGCTATTATTTGGGAAGAAACTGAATCACTCTTGAATGTACATGCAGATAGTTCGCTCCATGATAACAGATGGAACTGGACAAGTAGGCACACTGCACACGAGTAACTTGCAAATTCCCCAACAGGATGAAGATGATTTTGAGGATATCCAATGATAATCAAGGGTTTTGGTGTTCTTACTTTCTTCTATACTACTGTAACAAGACAACCAGCATTGCGAATTGCAAACAGCAGCAGTTTGCCCCACTGTCTATGCATCAAATGTAAGACCAGGGATGGTTAACAAGTTGACATCAGTATCCGCCTGATTCAGTGCCAGACCAAAAATGTTGGTAGATATAAAGGGAATGTATTCATTTTGTAATTTTGAGAGAACATGAAAATTATGGGAAAGAGGATGGGTTGGGGGTTGGGTTGTGTTTTGAACTAACAGGCTTAAGTTATTCCCAGTTGTCATTTCATTTATATGATAATTTTCTTCAAATATGAAATTCAGATTCACAGAAAGTGCATTAGACTTCTGTAGAGCAACACTGTAATGAGCTTCATAAAAAATGGAAACAGAAGACAAAGAGTTGAACAAATTCTTGCACAATGATATAACTGCACTAGGCAAATAAAAATTGTTTCATGCTTCATGTGTGTAAAACTAAATTAAAAAAACTTTTTAGGAGTAACTGAAGTGACTCCAGGACCTTTGCTACAAACGAAAGTGAAGTTAAGGGACCGTGGAAGCCATTTTGAAAGTTGCGGGACTAAAGCTCAAGTCTATACAAAGTTCAGGACCATAGCTCCTAATAAAAGGCCTAATATATATAGAGAAAACAGAGAGAGAGAGAGAGAGAGAGAGAAAAACACTGAAAAAGCTATTAAATATTGTCATTCCCGAAAAGGGAAGAATATAAAGGTGTAATAGTGAAAAAGTTATATTAGGAAAAAGCTATTAAATATTGTCATTCCCGAAAAGGGAAGAATATAAAGGTGTAATAGTGAAAAAGTTATATTAGCATTCATCTTCACCGTTAAAAGTGGTAAGATCTAAAAGTCTTAAGTCTTAAAAGTGTGACCAAACTTGTGTTAAAAATGTGTCCTCCGATCCTAACTCATATATACGCTATTCTTGTATAAAAATGTGTCCTCCGATCCTGACTAAAAGTTTTGAAACGTAGATAGTTAAAAGTGCCAAAATCGCTATCCTTATATAAAAGTTGATAACCAGTGTAAACGTATATGTTTTTTTTATGTCTCTTGAACTTGAACTATATGTATATAATAAGTATACATTGATGTGCTGGGCCAAATACTTGGGTGTGCCTCATTGTTTTATAAACATGATTTTAAAATTTTATTGATACGTATATCTTACAAATAAAAAATCTTCAAAATGATTTTTATTTTAACATTTCTAAAATATATAAATTATATTATTATTTCAGTCAGTGTGCCTTACGTGTAAGCAAAACATTGGCCCGTCCATTTGCTCAAACATTCTTGGCCATTAGGTAGGGCTGGGCTAAGCCTGTTGAAGATAGAGCAGGACTGGTCGGCCAGTTCAACCGTTAGAGCTGAAAAAGCCCACGGTTGGGAAGGGTGTGGACAAGCGTAATCATAGTAGTTAACTGATCTTTTAACAAAATGTATGAGATGAGGCAAAAGTGAGACACAAAGTTAAAATACAAGAAGTAAAGTGAGATAATCGAAAGTACATGAGGTAAAATAATAATTAAGTCTTTAAATTATAAATAGAGCACTATTCAAAAGAGTAGTTAAGTTACAATGAGAGTTGTATGTCAGCTATTCTAACTTTAAAAAACTTATGTAAGAGTAATTACTCTTAATCATTAGAGTAAAAAATCTTGACGTCTTTCATATAAATAAGTAGAAGAAAGGTCAAACAATACTTTTCAAACCTTAAGTATGGATCATGTAATAATATTGTACGATCTTGCGTCTACATCAACCAACTTGTCAACCAAATAATAACGTACGATCTTGTGGTTACTTTAATAAATTTATGTTCCAATAGACTCTTCAATGCAATTAATGCAATGTTATGAAAATTAATGAAAAATATGAAAACATGTGAATAATGTCTATGTATTTACTACATGAAAAGAAAAAGTGCATGTTTTTAATATTTTGGTAGGTTTTATTTTTCCAAAGTAAAATTAAATGTTTTGAAAGCCAATGTCAACTTACAAGATAGAGAAAGAGGTTGCAGCTTTGATTATTGAGTTTGATAAGGCTGTTGGAGAGAGTTTTGATGATGTGACTCACCTATTTTAACATTCCAAAGTTGTTGAATAGGCTGTTGGAGATGCTCTAACGTTATCATAATGAAGATGACTTTTGTCCATGCAAACGCATGAACAAAATCATGGAGAAAGCCTACTACAACAGGCCTTCATCGTGGAAAGTTGAAATTCGTTGCTGAAGCCCAATGAGGAAGTGACAACAAAACATACTTCCTCACTAGAACTTTTAGGGAGATACTCTCAAGTAACATTCCCTATTACTGTCGATCTTGTCCCATTATCGTTAGCAAATACTTTTTGATTGTCTTGATTATGCACACACTATTGATATCATCCATTGAAAAGAAAAGAAATCATTTCTTAGTGAGAAAGGGTCTTGTTCATAATAGTGGTCTGAGAGCATCTGAACATTCAGCCAAGACTTTTACTGGCTTTGCCATTTGGCAATGAAGTTTGGAAAGTCATGTGCCTTCTATATCTGTTAGAAAATCCAATTTGCAGACTTGGTAGTTTTGTTAAAGACAGCACAGAGCCCCCTCGATTCTTGTTGACCTCATCTAGTATTTAGCTGTTACTCTTGGGTGTAGTTCATTACTCATTAGGTGTATGAAACCAGAACAGATTTAAAAGTTTCCATAAAACCCAAATTCATAAGGAAGAAATCCAAGACAACCCAGAATCATAGAAACCAAATAACGTAGATATCTCTGTCCTAATTGGGCTAGTTTCGAAATTAATTTGGTGTCCTTATATGGGATTTGACCAACCTCAGATATTCATATTTTTTATCTGGATGTTGTTTGGATGGCATGTGTGAATTAATTCCTTGTTAATTTATACGTCCATATATGATGTGTGTGTGAGTTTTGTGTGTGTGTGCCTCTTATTTGGTTTCAGAAAGAAAAGCTTTTGTTTTGTGTGTGGTTTTGTGTTTTCTTAATGTGGTAGAGAATGGAGTTGCCAAAGGGAAATGCTGGAGTATCAGGTGATGAACAAGAACCATCGAGTTCTCGCAGGGCCAATAAGAAGTATCATCGCCATACTACTGAACAGATACAGCGACTTGAAGAGTGAGAATCAATAACTGCTTTTTTTATACCTCAACTCATGTTAGGACAACATCTTGACTTGACCTGAATGTTTTTTTTTTCTTTTTGTTTCAGTTTAATTAGATCATTTTCCTGAGATGTGTTTCTTGAAAATTATGGTTTTTGTGGGATGATTTTTATTTGTTTATCAACTTTGTGGAATTGGATTTCTATAGGATGATATACATGTCCAACTTCTGCCTTCTTTACTTCATAACATAGATCTGTTTTTCCAAAAAGAAAACAAAGAGAAGAAAATACATGTGTAGATAGATATTAAAGACGTTTTTGCATGTACCGTTTTCTGATATGTCTACACTCTCTTCTAAATCTTCTAGTAAGAGATTTTTTTTTTTCTTCTGGCCCTCGCTAGTAATTGGGTGTATATCCCAAATCAGTGCTTGTTTTGAAGGTTTTCTTCAAAGATAGACCTTGATCTGCATTCCAAGAAATTCTTCGTCTTTTATACCTTTTGCTTCAAGACATATCTATCTCTCAAATCATATGATATTTGAAATTAATCCTTGGTATCTACTTTTCACCAATATTAGGCTTTTTCGTTTTTTCTATCCCCTTCTTTGTATCACTTCTTCAAATGATAATGGGGTTCTCTTTGGTGAAGATTATTCAAGGAGTGCGCCCACCCCGATGACAACCAGCGTCAACAGCTGAGCAGGGAGTTAGGGCTTGAGCCAAGACAGATCAAGTTCTGGTTTCAAAATAAACGAACACAGACAAAGGTTCTCCATTTTTCTCACTTCGACGACGTGCATGCTTAGCAATTTGTTTTTTCATTTTATTCTATATTGCATGTGTAATGGTGAATCTTTCTGTAATTTCAGGCTCAAAATGAGAGAGCAGACAACGGTCTTCTTCGCATAAATAATGAAAGAATTCAATGTGAAAACTTTGCATTCCGAGAGGCCCTAAAGAATGTGATTTGCCCAACTTGTGGTGGGCCACCGTTTGGTGAAGAAGAGAGGCAGCTTTGTTTGCAGAAACTTCAGCTGGAGAATGCTCAATTGAGAGAAGAGGCAAATATTTAGAATATAAATAATTTCTGTCTATGCACTATAATTTAATCAGATCTTTAATGTAAATTATTGTTCATTATATTTATAGGTGGATTCCCTTTATTGATGTCTAGTTAGGAATATTTTCTTTTGCAGCATGATAAGGTAGCCAGCCTTCTTTCCAAGTATATTGGGAAACCAATATCACATATTGATTCGTTGGCATCCGCTGCTGGATCCTCATTTGAGTTCTCACCAGGAAGTTCCATGAACCAAGGGATGGGAAGCCCTCCCCTTAGTCTCAATCCTACCAATCCTACAGTTGCTAATAATGCTGCATTAGCTTATCAATTAATAGAAATCCCTGAAATGGAAAAGACACACATGGCAGATACTGCTGCCAGTGCCATAGAAGAACTGCTCAAAAATTTTGAGATCAATGAGCCCTTGTGGATCAAATCGCCGGGTGACGGGAGATATCTCCTCAACCGCGACAGCTATGATAAGATATTTCCAAGGCCGAACCACTTCAAGAGCTCCAGTACTCGTGTCGAGTCTTCAAAAGATTCAGGAGTAGTGTCCATTAGTGCAGCGCACTTGGTTGACATTTTTTTAGACTCCGTTAGTGCTACAACTCTTACTTTCCATTATTTCCTATATATTAAGCCACCACCATCACCACCATGTAGTGCTGGTACGATCAAAGAAGTTTAAGCACAATTGTTTAATTTTGCAGAGTAAATGGGAAGATCTCTTCCCTACAATTATCACAAACGCTAAGACGATTCAAGTACTTGAAAGTGGAATGGTGGGAAACCAGAGTGGCCGCTTGCAGCTGGTATGTATAAAGTCATTGTTTTGTTCAGTTTTTAAATTATTTTCCTATAGTTTATCATGACTAGTCATACAAATCAAATTGCTTTAACACAGATGTATGAACAAATGCACATTCTCTCTCCATTGGTGCTGTCGCGGGACTTCTACTTTCTTCGCCATTGTCAGCAGATTGAAATAGGCACTTGGGTGATTGTGGATGTGTCGTATGATTTCCCCAAAGAGACTTCTGCATTTCAAACTCGATCATGGAGACT